CTAGCTTCTTGTGCATACCCTGCCTGGGTTAGGCACCCTTAGACATATGACCAGCTTAGATTCTGACTAACCTGGGTAGTGCTCAGCACTAGGGCCCCTGTCCCAGCTCTGCCCCTGTGGCTTTATTTCCACCAAGTGGCCTAAACTTCCTCTTTCTCCCCCTGCTCATTGCCACTGTGCGGGCTGTGGTCAGTATGGGTACTTGCTTTACCCACTACCACCAAGCCTGAAGCTCTGAGTTGTCCCTTCCGTGCCCCCAGATTCTCCCTAAACAGATGGGTTTCCACCCTGGCTGCTGGGTGATGTAGGTTGGCTGCCCTTAACCTTGCCCCTAGGTCAGTAGGCTCTTCATCCCTTCCTCACCACTCAAAGGGATTTCCTAGTTTATTCTGTACATGCATCTGAGTGGGAGTGCATGCATATAGTGAGTGCACATAGTCAGGCACGAAGGTTCCTGAAGCCAGGCACTTGCCCTTGCTCTTACAGAGCAAACTGGCCCCTGATGGCTTTACCTCCAGCCTGGTCCTTGGGCTTCCCACAGTCCCTGGCTTGGATCCTGGCAGGAAGGGACCATAAGATTACCCCTACCTTGGCTGTACTGCTCTCCAGTTTTTGAGACTGGAGCATGTGTCTCAACCTCTCTTAGCCTCTGCCAGAAATGGGGACAATGATAGGTTATTCATTCAACACATATTTATAAAGTGCCCAGTGTGTCAGGCATGGTCCTAGGCTTTGGGGAGACAGATGTGAATATGATGGGTCCCCACCCTCACTGGACTCACATCCCAGTGTGAGGGAGATGGGCAGAAATTAAGTAAACAAACAGAAAATGGAGTTTTGGTTCTGCTTGGTGCACTGAAGCTCTGAGGAGGAGTGTGAGAGTGTCCCAGCCAGTCAGAGAGGAACTCTCTGGGAGGTAGCACCAGAGTTGAGCCTTGAACAGCAGAAGAGGCAGTCATTTAAAGATCTAGGGACAGAGCATTCTAGGACAAGGGTACAGCTGGTGCAAAGGCCCTGAGGTGGGAATGAGCTTAGCAGAAAGAAGGCCAGTGAGGCTGGTGGGGAGATGAAGGGCAGCAGAAAGAGCTCAGGCAGGGCCTTTTTAGGCCATACTGGGGAGACCGGATTTCAATCTAAGGGTGATGGGAAGCATTGGAGGGTTATGAAAGAGGGAGGCATGGGTGGTAATTTGTGGTTTCACAGCTCACTCCAGTTGCCAGGGGAAAGTGGGGAGGGGGACAAGGTTGTCTCTGGAGTAGTTGAGACCCAAAAAGTGTGTGGCTTGGCAGTCAACCCTGCCCCAGCCAGGTTTCCACTGTCATCCTGGTCCCCATCCCAGTTGGTGCTGAAAAAAGTCAGTTGCTGCTGAGCCCAAGGTCATCTCAAGGGCTGTGGGTAGTGGAAACCCTGCCTGGAGGGAGGCCTGAATCATGCTGAGAGAAGCTGCAGGGGACCTTGGCTACCACCAGTCTGTCCTTTGCAGGCGTCTCCTTGGGATGGGTGCCCGGTGGCCCAGCTACACCCCCTTCCCTGGCTCTAGCCAGCAGGGCTGGGGGTGGGTAGGGTCACTGCTTTGGGCCAAGCTTCCTGGTTGAGGATTTGGGGCTTTGATCTCTTGGGAGGGTCTGGTAGCAGGCCCGGAGACGGACTCATCTTGTACCTCCAGCCCTCTTAGCTCCTGGTGCTCAAGGCAGCTACTTGCTGTGATCGCAGGCAAAGTCTTTGCAGGTTCTGTGCCTCAGTCTTCCATTTGCCAAATATGGGGGGTGGAAGGTAACTGCCATTTACGCTTGACTCTGTGGTGAGTTTTCCCTTCCTTGATGGCAGCTCTCTCAGCATTTGTAACCTTAAATTCTCCCACCAGCCCTGGGGGAAGAGAGTAAGGGATACACCCATTGTGCAGATGTCATCACAAAGGGCAAGGGGCAACGAAGAGTCCTTGGACACATCTGGTTCAGAGTGAGGACTCAGGTGCTATGCCTTGAAGCTTCCCCTTTGTGCACCACTATTGGGGCTTAGCTACCCTGGGTCATCTGGTCCTCAGCCCAGGCAAGGACTCTGGGCCCCCTGCCCAGAATAGGGCTCAGTGCTGCCCCTTGTCTGCCCACATGCAGAAACTGAGGACACGGCCCAGTGCCCAGTGTTGACAGAAACTCCATCCTGCTTTCAGCTGCACATGGCAGGGCAGGTAGGGCTGGAGCTGGCCTGAGGCAGCTGCTGGACATTGGAGGGTGAGTGGCATAGGGGTCCCCCAAGAAGACCTTGATTTACCTATAGCTTCAGTGCTGATATAGACTGAGCATCAAATGAAGCTGCTTTACTCTCAAATCTTGGGCTTTACTGGGGGCTTAGGCATAGCCTGACCAGAGGGGATCTTACCCTGCCAGGTGCAGCCTCTGGGTCTGGGTGCAGGAGCATGAGGATCCTCATGGGGCCTGGCTCAAGCACTGTGCTTCAGAGCTGGCCCTGGGCTGCAAACCAGGTCAAAGGACTAGAACTCAGGCAGTGGGCCAAAAGGCCCCACTCTTTTCCTTCCTTCCTTCCTCCCTCCGTCCCTCCCTTCCTCCCTCCCTCCATCCCTCTCCCTCTCTTTCTTTCTTTCTTTTACAGTCTCAAGATTTGAACTTAGGATCTTGAGCTTGCTAAGCAAGTGCTCTACCACTTTAACCACACTCCCAGCCCCCACTTTCTCTCTTCTTTCCTTTCTATAAGCCATCCCCCTGCCCCCGCTCTGGAGTCACAGATGAGGAGGTGGCCTCCTGTCCTCCCTCCTCTGGGTACACAGCCAGAGGGAACAGATCAAAATAGCAGCAGAGGTGGTAGGGATGCAGGGCAGATCAGAAAGTCCCTCATTCTGTGCTGGGCCCCGAGGGTCCCTGGTGTCCTAGGATCAGGGCCCAGATAGTGTAGAGCCTGGCTTTCAGATTTTTAAAGATCTGTGGGCTTTTCTTTATTTGGAAAGTAAAATCTTACTCCAAGTCAAAACTCTAGGAGGTGGTGGTCAGTGTGGGTGGGCTGTGGGGCACAGATCTGTTTGCCCTGCCCTCTTCTACACCATGTTTGAAAATCCAGGGTTAAATAAGGTTTAGCCCCTATATGGTAGCTGAGTTCCCCTTGAGGGCCCAGAAGTCCCCAGAAAAGTGGCCCACCTTCCCCTCTGGGCTCATCTTTTCTAAATGGGAAGTCTGCTTGAAGTCTAACTCATGTTTCCCATGCTTGCCTCATTATAAGAGTAACAGTTCACCATATTCCTTCCCTGTACAGTCTGATTCAAGAGGTCTGGGGCAGGGCCTAGTGAGCTGTAGCAATTTTTTTTTTTTCAGGACTGGAGTTTGAACTCAGAGCCTATTGCTTGCAAAGGCAAGCACTCTGCCACTTGAGTGCTATACCTCCATCCCTTTTTCCTTTAGTTATTTTTCACTTAAGGTCTTGTGTTTTTTGCCTGGGCTGGCCTGGACCTTGATCCTCTTACCTATGGTCTCCCATGTAGCCAGAATTACAAGCTCTGGCCACCATGCCCAGCTTATTGGTTGAGATAGAGTCTTATTAATTTTTTATCTGGGCCGGCCTTGAACCAGGATCCTCTTGATCCCTGCCTCCTGAGTAGCTGGGATTACAGTGAGCTATATTTTAAGAAATCCTTGGGTGAGATTTACAAGTAGGCACATACAGGAAGTTTGGGCTCACCTACAGCTTGTTCTACTGCAGCCCGGAAAGCTGACCATCCCTCCCCTCCTCCAGTCTCTCCTGATCTCCCAGAAGCTCTTTTCCAGAGGACAGCAGGGTGCTGGGTATAATTAAGGTCCACCGAGGGGAGGAAGTGGCCCAACCAAAAACAGAAGAAGTGCCCCAGATTCCTGCATCTCTGTCTCTCTCAGAGTGTTTACAGGGGCTTTCCTGTGTCCTGGCAGAGGTTACGGACTAGGAGGGGCCAGGAGCAGAGAGGAGAGGAGACAGAGCAAGATCACAGCTCATTCCACACAGCTGTCTCCAGCTGGGATGAGGTTGGACAGGAAATCTTTGGGAATCCTGGGCTGGTCCTGGGGTAGACATGAAGGACCAAGGAGTCTCCTCCTTTGACAAGAAACAGGCCCAGCACAAGGCTGAGGGGAGTGGGACTGGTCTGGCATTGAGGTGAGGAGGCCCAGATGAGGCCACGCAGAAAGCTGGGTAGAGTGGGGCCTGATTCCCCTCACTTTCTGCTCAGAGTGTCCCTTGTGGGCTCTGTAAGGCCTTCCTTGAGGCAGCTGAGCTCTGGCAGGGCGCCAGGCCTCTTCCTCCTTCGTCTTGACATGGCCAGGGTACTGGGCAGTGCAAGGGTAGCTTTGGCTCCATGTGAGGCTCTCTGTGGCACTGTGCCCACCCAGCACCCTGGACAGCGCCTCACACTGGGCCTCCTATAGCTGATGGCCTTCTCTATGCTTCCCTGGGGTGGTTCCTGTCCTGATTAGGCTGCACTTCCTTACCTTCTCCCTTAACTCTCCCCTTAAAGGCAGCCTCCAGCCCAGTTTTCTCCATGAACCACAAAGTTTCAGTCATCTCTGGTTCCTGGTGCCAGGGCAGAGAATGTGTGGAGAGGCCTGTGGACTGGCTGCTGTCAGCTTGGGGTTTTGTCTCTGTCACTTACTAGTAGCAGTGGAGAGGGGCCTGTGGTATGGGGGAATGCTTGCCACTCCCCCAGTTGTTCCCCATCTGGATTTTCCTTATGGGACTTGGGTGAATTCTGGAGGGCACACCAGATACTAAAGACATAATAGGGAAGGGAGAGACTGGGGTACAAGGGGCTGGTCAGGGGCCAAGGGAGGTGAAGGGGCTCACTTGGCAGGGTGGTGAGGGGGCCAGGACTGAACCCAGGCTCCAGTCAGAGGGTCTTGAGGAGATGTCTTGGTCATTCTCCTGCCCCTAGGTAGGTGCCCTGGTGCTAGCTCTATTGGCCTTTAGTCCTACTACCCCCTGCCCTGTCTAGCTGACTCCAACTTCATCTCTTCGTCTCCTGCCAGGTCTCCGGGAGTCCCAGGAGTAGTGGAAATGGCTGCCACAGAGGAGGACAAGCTCCCATCTGCACTGCCTGAGGAAGGCGGTGCCACCTGGGACCCCAGCCTGGAACCTAAGGAGGAGCCTGGGGTCCAGAATGGAATGACAGCCAATGAGGGCCCAAGTAGCTGCCTTAGCAGCCCAGGGAAAGAGGAAACAGGCACCTTGGTGGATACTAAGGAGCTCACAGAGCACCCAGTTGTGGCCCTTCCTGGCCTCAGCCTCGACCTCTCTCTCACCAATGGCCTGGCCCTAGGACTAGATGTGAACATTCTGGAAGATCCAACAGAGCCCAGGCCCTGGAGGGCCAGTGGGGTGGCAGAAGGGGACAATGCCTCCAGAAATCTCTGTCTAGATGCTGAGGACCCTCAGCTGGGGTAAGTGGGAGTCTTGGGGTGGGAATTTACCAAATTTCCAGCTCAGTTTTCTATGTGACATGGTTATAGCCCCTTAGACTTCTGGTTCTTGTTTTTCTCATACATATTTGGGGATTTTATGTCCCTATTTTTCCAGCTTCTGGGTGTTGGAAGGACAGAGCCATGAGAGGGAATTCAAAGGTCAGCAATCAGCCCCCCAAACCATCGCGAGCTGTTTCTGTGTTGGGTGGGGGAGCTACACTCCCTCTATTCCAGCTTGCATTTGAGTTCCAAGTCCTTTTGAAGCACCTGGATGTGAAAGGTCCTCTGGTCTCTTTCTCTGCTTTCTGGAGATGAGAGTCTCCCAACCCTGCAGTGGCCCCAGGAAAGCAGGCTTTGTATGCTAATCCCTCTCAGCTACCTTCACCTGAGGTTGCTGTTGGGAAGTTCTACCAGGAATCTCACTCCTCACTGGAGTTATAGCCCTATTTCTCTTATCCTCAGCAGGAGGTAGAGAGACTGGAGTCTTGGGGGTGCCTTTGGACAAGAAGGGTGGGAATGGGCAGGGGAATGTCTAGAAGGCTCCAGGGAGGGCTGAGAAGAGAGCGTACAGAAGTCTTGGTAAGTACAGCTGCAGGCCCACCCCGAACAGGCAAGTGTGTAGGAGGTGTGAGTGTGCGTGGTGCATGCATGTGTGTGCTTGGCCTGCACATCAGTGTGTGCACAGGGACATGTGAGCATGTAGGTATGCATGGAGCTATGCGTTGTGAGTGAGTGTGCTGGTGTCTTGTCTGTGTGTTTGTGGGTGCATGTTTGGGCCATATGTGGGTGTGTAGGGGGAAGTGCCTACAGGTAGAGGTGTGTAGGGGAGGATCTGTGGGGTTGGAAGCCATGTATACAGTGTGCATGGTGTACCATCCATCCAGGCAGGACCTGGGGCAGCCACCAGCTGCTTGCAGTGGGGTGGGGGAGGAGCCTGGGGTTTCTTAGGTTGCACCGTGTTTTTAGGTGGCTTATTGATTTAGGATGGCTGAAGGTGGGGGCAGATGGAAGTGTGGGAATTGGGCTCATGGTTTTCAAACCCTCCTCAGGGTCACCTCATCAGGTCTGCTCAGTTGCATGAGGGGGTGAGAAATGGGGGTACCATTTGTGGATCTGACAATGTGCAACCAAGGGCAGGGCTCTTTTTAGATATCTCTAATACCCAGCACAGGCCTGGCAGAGGTGTTTTTGCCAGGAAGACATTAGCATTGTGAAACTGGTTTGGGGAGCGGGGAGCCGGGGATTATACTAAACAGGGGAACAAACAGAATATTACACACTGATAAGGGCTAGAGAAAACGTGAAGACCAATGCTGAGGACAGGGAATGAGGAGGAGAGGCTGGCCTGGTGTGGGCCTGTCCCCCTCAGTCTCATCAAAGGAGTGACATGAAAGCAAGCCCTGAAAGCAGTATGGTTAGCTGAGTCAAGAACCTCCCTGGCTGTGGGGACAGCAAAATTATGAGCCAGTGCAACACTCTAGCTGTGACAGGGAGATGTCCACACTGCTGTAGCAATCAAGAGAAGCAGCCCCCCAGGCCAGGTCTGGGAAAGAGGCCTCATAGTCATTCATTAGACAAATATCTGATGCCTACTATGGGCCAGGCCTGGCTTGTACACTGAGGGATGGGGTCCATGTTTGTCCTTTTCACTGTTGTACTCCTGTACTTAGCCCAGCACCTGGCCCTTCATGCTCAATATGTTTTGGCTGAAAGGACTAATAAGTAGGACACAACTCAGGGAGTTCCCAGACACAGACTGGTGGGTGTGGTCATCAGCCTCTGTATGAGCAGGATGGTGACTGGGTCCTTGCATCCGACAGGCTGGATGGCCCTGGGGAGACAGATGTGCGGGATGGCTTCAGCGCCACGTTTGAGAAGATTCTGGAGTCAGAGTTGCTGCGGGGCACTCAATACAGCAGCCTTGACTCCCTAGATGTGCTGAGCCTCACGGATGAGAGCGACAGCTGTGTCAGCTTCGAGGCTCCCCTTACACCCCTCATCCAGCAGCGGGCCCGAGATAGCCCTGAACCAGGAACTGGGTTGGGCCTTGGGGACATGGGGCCCGAGGGAGACGTGGGGGCAGCTGGTGGTGACAGGGAGCTGGGCAGCCCCCTGCGGCGCTCCATCTCCAGCAGCCGTTCAGAAAACGTCCTGAGTCGCCTGTCTCTCACGGCGGTACCCAACGGATTCCATGAAGACGGGCCCCAGGGTCCAGGAGGGGATGATGAGGAGGAGGAGGAGGAGGACACAGATAAGTTGCTGAACTCGGCCAGGTGAGGGGGTCCTGGAATGGGAGCCGGGGTACTATTGAGCAGGTGGAGAAACTGAGACCTAGAGAGGCAAAGCATGTTAGGGTGATCCAACGATGGACACTGTCCAACACTGACAAGCCCTCTCCAAGGTCACCTTGTCCATCCTCTGCATCCAAACTCTCCATCCCAGTCTTGAGCTTTCATTCTGCTCTTTGGGTTTTCTCCACTCAGATGGGGTCAGAGAGCAGTACTGACGGATTGTGCCCTGCCTAATGATACCACCCTGGGATTCTTTTGGAAGTGGACTTGATGTCCTGCTCTGGCCACGAGTGGGTTTCAGAGGTCTGGGATTTTTCCTGGCCTTAGGCAGGGTCTCTGATTCCCTCTTCTCCATCCACAGTGACCCCAGCCTGAAGGATGGCTTGTCCGACTCAGACTCAGAGCTGAGCAGCTCAGAGGGACTGGAGCCTGGCAGCACAGACCCACTGGCCAATGGGTGCCAGGGGGTCAGTGAAGCTGCCCACCGACTGGCCCGCCGCCTCTACCACCTCGAGGGTTTCCAACGCTGTGATGTGGCTCGGCAGTTGGGGAAGAAGTGAGTGGGCCTCTCCTCGTGCCTCCTACCCCAGGCAAACCTGCTGTCTTCCTCAACTAGAAGTGGGTGGGGGTGATTTCTTTCAGGGGTGCCTGGAGCCAGGGGGCTCCCAACAGCCCTTCAAGGACACCTCCTCCTGCTACTGTCCTCATTCCTGGCCTTGTTCTAAATCTGTTTCCTTTCTGGGCTGCTGGGGCGAGGGCTGTTGCTCTCAAGGAGGAGGTGGTGGCAGGAGGCCCCTCAGGGCTTGGGAGCGGGATGTGGGATGTGGTTACAGGGTCACAATGGGTGGTAGTGAGGACAGGGCATCTGGGAAAGAATTAGTGGCCTACTTATTGGGCCAGGGAAGAGAGGAGAACCTGGGAGGAGTATGAGGGGAAATGCCTAGGACCTGGAGCTCAGGAAGTCCTGCTGTCTATTGGGACCAATAGAAGGGTCTAGAAGCCTGAAAGCACAGGCCCTGGCCTTCAGGCCTGGTGCAAAGGAGACCAGCCACATGGGAGTCCTCAAGGTGCTTGGGAGGGAGCATGGTGGAAGAAGACTGCTGGCACCAGGCCTTCCCCCAGCACATGTGACCCCAGCATGACCCTGCCTTCAGCCCATATGTACAGAGGGCTCCCACCACCCCAGGAAGGCTCTGAGGTTGGCAGAAGCAGGCCTGGCTTTCTCAGCACTGCTCACAAGGCTAAAGGAGACTGTTGGACCCTTGATCCAGAGTCAGAGCTGAGAGAGGGGATTTAGGCTCAGGGAGGCCCCAGTGGTGTCCAGTTCCAGGATTTCCCTTCTCACTCCAGCCTCCTCCATCCTCTGCAGCCTTCTTCTTGCTCCTCCACACCTCCCCCATCCCCCCAAGCCTAGAAATCACAATTCACACACTCCCCCTTGCACCTAATGATGGCCTCTCGGGAGCCGGCATGGAGCTGGGCCCTCCCCTGTCTTCTCCATGGCTCCCTCTGCAGGAAGCAGTGCTCCTCTCTCCTATCTGAAAAGTCAAGATCCTTCTCCAGTGAAGCCCGAATTCTCAGATTTTCTGCTTTGGGTGGTTTCTATCCCTTTCCTCCTCATTCAGCGCCTCCAGATGGTTCCACCCCTTCAGAAACTTCTCTTTTCAAGGTCACTGGTGGCCTTGTGCCTTCAAATGCTACCCAGGCTACCTTTTGCAGCATTGATACAACTTCTTTCTAGGTCTTTAAACTTTTTTTTTTTTAATTGTTTTTACATTTACTTACATGTGTATACATTGTTTGGGCCACCTAAACCTTTTTTTGTTTGTTTGTTTTGTTGGTGCTGGGTGTCAAACTCAGGGCCTCACACATGCTAGTCTAGTACTCTACCACTGAGCTACATCCCCAAACCCTCTTTAAACTTTTTTTCAAGCATACATAAAGCAGAGAAAATAATATATTAAGTCTCTATAGGCCTATTACTCAGCTTCAAAATTACCAACATCTTTCTGTTCTTGTTTTCTCTATTACAGCACAGCTTCCCCCACATTTGTTAAAATATTTAAAAGTGTACTTCAGAAACTGTATCATTTAATCCAGAAGTACCTTAGTGCATATTTCTAATTAATGAGTCTTTAACATAATTATAATTCCATTGTAATTTCTTTTTTTTTTTTTCTTTATTTCACCTTGTTTTTTTTTGGCGGTACTAGATTTTGAACTTAGGGCTTCCCACTTGCTAGGTAGGCGCTTTACCACTTGAACCACACCTTCCAGTCCTCCACTGTAATTTTTAACAAAATTCAAAAATTTCCTCATTTCTGATTTCAAAAATTTGTCAAAAAATTTTGTCAAAAATTTTTAACAAATTTCAAAAATTTCCTCATTTCTGATTGTCTCAAAAATGTTAGTTTGGGAGGCATGGCTCACGTGGTAGAGCACCTGCTTAGCAAGTACAAAGCCCTGAGTTCAAACCCTATTCCCACCGAAAAAAAAGTTACTTTGTTCAAATCAGAATCCAAACAAAGTCCACACATCTGAGTGTTACTTATATGTGGTAATGGGCAGTTGAACCCAGGGCCTTGCACATGCTAGGCAAGTGCTCTACCACTGAGCCACACCCCCAGCCCTCTTAAATGTCTTTTAATCTACAGCAGTCCCTCTCCCTTTTTTCCCCTCAGTACTGGGATTTGAACTCAGGGCCTCATGCTTGCTAGGCAAGTGCCCATGATCCTTCTATCTCCACCTCCCTGGTAGCTGGGATTACAGGTGTGTGACACCATGTCTGGTGCCCTCCCTTTTTAAGTGCCATATATTTGTTGAAGAAACTGAGCCATTTTGTCCTTCAGATTGTTAGGAACCACGTGGAATGGTGACTCTCACAGGGACGTGTTCACCCTGTCCTTGTGCTGAGCTCTAATATCTTCGCCTTTACAGTCATGCCCCATAGCCATTCCACTTCTCTTTCGGATAGTTTCTGTTTCCTAATTCTTCTCCCTATAACTCCTATCACCTGCTTGGATACCTCCTACACTCTCCCAGTGGGTCTCTACTTATCAGGTAGTGTTCTAAAATTCAGATCTGCCAACCTGTTTCAAACCCTGTAGAATCATGTCCTCCCTCTTCTTTTGACCTGTGGGCCCTCTTCCCTGCCTCACCTCTTGCTGCCCAGTTCTTGCTCTCTGCTCTCCAAGGCACTGGCCACATGTCCCTGCAGATGGCTTCTTGGACATGTTATACAGTTTCCTCTGTTGGAAACCCTTAGCACCATTCTACTCCCTACTCCCTTTGCCTGGCTGACTCTTACCTTCCTGAGTTGGCTGAGACATCTCCTCCTCCAGGAAGTCTTCCTGATCTAGCCCAAACTTGATCTGTTAGAGCCTGACTGGCCAGCAGGGGGAGACATCTTAGGAGTTGGGCAGATCTGGACGGATGGGTTAGAGTACCTTGGGGCCCACTCCTCAAGCACCTTCTACTGTTTTGTCATCCTTGGGCTGGACCCTGCTTCTAACTGATATCTCATGCTCTCCCTGGTAGCAACGAGTTCAGCAAGCTGGTCGCCGGGGAGTACCTCAGTTTCTTCGACTTCTCAGGTCTCACTCTGGACAGAGCACTCAGGTCAGTGGGGCTGGGATGGGACAGGGCCTTGTACAGGCAGTACATCTGGATTCTCATCAAAACTTGCTGTGCAACCTTGGGCAAGTCTTTTGACCCCTTTGGTGATGCTGTGAGGAAGGGGCCAGAAGAACAATGGTCCAACAACTCAGCTAGCGTCTGGGGGTGAAAATGCTAAGGATATGGGGGTGGTCATGACTCTAAGAGAGGAGGCGAAGGGCCTGCCTGTATTGGGCACTTCCTCCCTGTCAGATGCCAAAGCTCCTTATACACCTTGCTTACTACAGCCTCACAGTAGTCCATGGAAGGGAGGCACAATCGTTTCTTTTTAAAGTGTAAAGAGCCTTTCCCACAGTCATCTACCATCATAAAGGGGTTTCATCTCAGCTCTTACTGGTGTCTGGACCATTGAGTAGGCCTCAGTGGGACCAGGTGCAGGCTCCAGGGAGTGGAAGGAGTGATGGATACAGCCAGTGTCAGCAGGCTCTGCTGGCAAGGACCAGCTAGGTATGAGGTTTATGGGCTAGACCTAGTCTTAGGAGGGATGGACAGTAGACTCTGAGCTAAGGTAAGTGGTCCACATATGCTATGCCCTTTCACTGTGTCCCATGTGTCTCTTACACTTTAAAAACATGCAATTTGTAGGGTTGGCAGAATGGCTCAAGTGGTAGAGTCTTGCCTAGCAAGTATGATGTCCTGAGTTCAAATCTAAGTACTGCAAAAATAAACAAACAAATAAATAAGTAAACAAAACGACACACCTGTAGTTCTAGCTACTTGAGAGGCTGAGATCAGGAGGATCATTGTTCGAGGCTAGCCTAGGGAAATATTCATAAGCCCCCATCTCCAAAATAACCAGAGCAAAATGGTCTACAGGTATGGGTCAAGCAGTAGAGCACCTGCTTGCAAGAACAAAGCCCTGAGTTCAAACTGTAGTCGTAACAAAAAAAAAATGCAACTTGTATTCTTTTTTTTCTGATTCAGTTGGGATATTTTCTGTTGACCTGTTTCCAGTTCATTTGCCTTTTTTCTGTGTCCAATATGCCATTAAATCTTATTTATTGAGTTTTTATTTTCTGTTACCATATTTTTCAGTTCTAGAATTTTTGTTTTATTTAAACTTGTAAAAATGGATTCTAATTCTCTAGAGGAATTCCCCATCTTTTTGCTTATTTTCTATATCTTTCCCTCTTGAACATATTAGTTTAAAGTCCCTGTCTGCTCACTCCAGTATCTGCAGCATCTGAACTATCTCTGTTTCTATTGTCTGTTTTTTTTCTCTTGGTTTTCTGTCATTTGTACTGCCTCTTTATAAGACTAGTGATTTTTTAAAATCAGATGCTGCACACTTTGTATAGAACTGTTTCTACAGAAATGGTTCACCTCATCCTTTGCTAGGCAGTTGGAAGGGAGCATGGGACATGGTCTTAATCCAAACAGAGCTGGGCTGACAAGAGGCAGCACTGAAGCTTGCTATGCTAGCTCAGGGTTTGTGCTGATTGTGAAGAGCCTCAGAGCCTTCCATGATGGGGGGGGTGGCAGATGTAGTCATTGGGGCCTCTCCTCTTGGTGGGTTCTGAATCCTTGTTTTGTCTTCTCGTTGCAGTAAGACCCCTTCCAACTCCTCTGCTTCTCTGAGGATTTCTGCTTAGCTTGGTAGTCTTCTGACCGTCATAGAATTTGGCAAATATCTGACTGTGTGTTTATAGCTCCTCAAGTCTCCTGGTTTGTTTCTCCAGCCCAGTGAAGCTACCCAGTGTCCTGGCTCTTGCTTGTGCCCTTAGATGGCAATGCCCCTGGAGAAAAGGCAGCTGTAGCTGATCATCCTACCTCTCCTCAGACCTCTCTTCTCCAGGATCCTGGTTCTTGTGGTCTTTGTTGCCTCAATTGTTTCCTGATAGCTTAAGAAAACACATTGTTTTTATTATCTCAGTGGGAGCGTAGGTTTTCTATAAGTTACTCTATCCTGAGTTGAGTCTTGAAGGATGCATAGGAATGAGGAGGATTGGAGGGAAGTGTTCAGTGGGACCAACTCATAATCAGAGGCATAGGTGCTGGACTGGAGAGCCTTGTTCGCTAGACCAATACAGTGGAGCTCAACTGCACAGAAGGTGCTGGGTGTAAAACAGGCATCAGTGTGATGGTAGCCTTTGATCCAGTGGTGTTCAGGCTTCTGAAGAGGGTCAAGTGGGAGAGGACTAGGTCTGAGGATGGGTGGGAGGGGGCTAGAGGGTACAGGTTAGTGTGAGAGGTTGTTCAGAGGATGTAGTAGCAGGACTGCTGGGGCAGAGATGAAAAGAGGGTGGGCAGTGGTGGGGTTGAGCTTGCAGATAGCTGGGAGTGTGGTAGTGGTGGTGCTGGACTGGGGATTGGCGAAGAGCTCTGGGAAAGGGAGTATGGGTGTGGAGCAGGCTCTTAGGTAGGGCTGGCTAAGGCGTGATGAGGGCTGGATTTTAGAAATGAAGTATGAGGAGAAGAGGGAGGGCCAGATGGGGAAGAGGACAGGAAAAGGAGGAAAAACAGATGTCAGGTAGGAGAGTGTTTTTGCGCAGCAGTTGATTGCTTGGGACTGAATTTCAGGAGTGTTCTGGAGTTGGGATGGGATGTATTGGAAGCCTCTAAAGGAGAGAGATGGCCAAGATGTGGCTCCAGGTTCCAGGGGGTCTTAGGAGGCAGACAGGAAGGAGGATAGCAAAGTGGTATTACAGACTTTGGGCCATAGCAAAATTAGGAAAGCACCATCTCGTGAGCCCAGGACAGACAGAGGCCCAAACTGTTTCAGCTTTAAATTTTCCTTCACAAGGGAAGGGGCTCCCAGGCCTCAGGTGAGGAGCCCCAGGGAGGGACTCTGGTCCTGTCTTCCAATCCTTCTGGCTTTGGGAATAGCTGCCAGGTGTCCTTAAGAAGGTGGTGACCTTTGAGTTGGGCCTTGAGGGAGATAAAGAGGTGGAAAGGATGTCCCTGTAGACCCCCAACCTGCTCAGAGGCACAGAGAAGAGGTCCAGGGCAGGATGATGGTCTGGGGAGGCAGCAGCTGGGTGTGAGGTTTGAAGGCCAAGAACAGAGCCAGATGATAATCAGCAAGGCCCCAGGAAGAAGGTCTGGGGAGTCAGTGACAGATTTTAAAGCCTGCTCAAAGTTGCTTGTCTAATTTGTTAATTTTTTGGTTTTCTGAGACAGACTCTCACTATGTAGCTCAGGCTGGCTTCCATTTCATGGTCCTCCTGCCTCAGTCTCCAAGGCACTGGGATCTTAGGTGTGCATCACCATGTCTGGCTCTGCCTTTTTATACAGAAAGAACACTTGGCTTCTGCAGGGAACAGGCACTAGAGAGGGCAGAGGTGCTTGCTGGGAGGCTGTGGCAGGTATACTGGGCATACGATGAGGGTGGTGGAGGAGGAGGAATTGAGATCAAAAGTGAATAATGAGCCATTGGCACTTGGTGGCAGCTCAGACCTGGGGATGGGGAAGAAGTGAGGAAGGCCAGAGCTGAGCCTAGGGCTCAGCTGGTGGCACATGGAGGAGCAGGAGTGACAGGAGGAGCATTGTGAGGGGCAGGGCACAGCTACAGAGGAGGAGTGAGGCGTGGGTACCCACCCGGAGAAGAGCAGATGCTGGCTGTGAGGTGCTGACCTGCCTTTGTTCATCACAATCTGTCTTCTATCTCTTTCCAGAGAAAGGCCCTGGAGGAGGAAGAAGGCTGAAACTCTGAGGCCTGTTAGGGTCCTTGACCTTAGCACTGCAGAGGTCATCCTGAGGCAGGGGTTAGGGGAGGCTGTCTGGGCCTGGAGAGGGTGTCCAGATCCAGATGCTGGCGTGTGGGAGCTCTGGCTTTCTGGAGTAGTTGCTTGTGTGCATGCATGTGTGTGTATGTGTGTGGCAGGGTTTCTCCCCCATTGAGGACCCAGACTAACCTGAACACCTCTGGGAGGCCCTCAGCAGCCTTGAATTGCCTTTCAGAACCTTCCTGAAGGCCTTCCCACTGATGGGGGAGACACAGGAGCGTGAGCGGGTCCTTACACACTTTTCCCGCCGGTACTGCCAGTGCAACCCAGATGACAGCACCTCGGAAGGTAGGACACCTGGCCTGCTCTTCCCTACCCATCTGTCCACCCAGCTGGGCCCAGGACTCCTCCCATTCCTGGCCCACCTTCCAATTCTGTCCTGCAACCAGGCCCAGATGGGCTGTCCTCTCTGGCATACAGCAGGTGCTAGTAACATTGAATGAATAACTGATGGCACATGGAAAGGGCAAAAGAGTCCCAAATGTCCTGTCCATTGCCTTTCCCAGTGCCTGAACATTCTCCACCCTGGAGATTTAGCCCTTTGGGTCATCATGTTTCCCGGTCCCCTGTCACAATGCTGATTCTTGGGTGGTGGAGATCCTAGTGTGGTGGAGGTCTGGGTCAGGGCCCTCTTAGGGGCAGGACTTGTCCTATGGATGGACCTGAGAGTTTTGGAGGAGACATAGGCCAATGCAGGGACATTAACCTGGGGTCCAGCGCCATTGCTGGGTCTGTGATTCAAGGTCTGAATTTGGGACAGAGCAGGCCCAGAATGGTCAGGTTCCCTCTGAGGGATAAGACGCTTTGGCCTGGGACAGGCAAATGACTGATACTGCAGTGGGGTGGCAGGGAGCATCACGAGAGTTCTGGCCCTGAGATGCATGGGGCAGGTGGCTGGCTTCTTTGTCTCCAAGGCCTCCAGGTTGGCTCTACCAGGAGATGGGCGGGCAGCTGGGGGTGGCAATGGATGTGGTCCTCACACTGAGAATACTGTCATCTCTGATTTAGATGGGATTCACACGCTCACCTGTGCCTTGATGCTGCTCAACACAGACCTGCATGGACATGTGAGTTGTGGAGGGAGGGGCCATGTCCTCTCACTGGTCACCTGAGTCCTCCAGGGACTGTCCCTTTACCCAGGCTCCTTCCTGAGACCTCTTGCTCAGAAACAGTGTTTCTTTAGCAGTCCTGGAAGTTGGGCAACTTGGCTTCTTGATTCAGCCGGTCCTGGTTTTGCCCACCTGGGACCTGCCTGGGTCTGGGCCCCCAAGTACAGCAGTGAGAACAGCTGAGGCACAGGGGCATTGAGGACACACTGAATAAGATGTGCAAACTCATTGGGTCCATGACCCTCATTGCTAAATGACCCTGTGCTTTTCTCATGCCCAATCCATAAGCCTGAACGTGGTCTTGAAATGCCACACCCAGGCAGGCAGCTGCTGTCAGTCAAGCACAGATCACCCTCAAGAGGCCTCCTCATCCTCTCACTTACCCCTCAGGATGTGGAGGGACAGGTGTGAGGCTAGCCAGTCCAGGCCCCAGGCTGCCTCTAAGTTTCTTAGAGCTCACTAACTCCTCCTTCTCTCCTCGGTTGCTGCGGGCCCCTCTCTGGTCTGTCATACTCTCCCTCCCTCAGGTGGTAAGTGTATCTAGTGGTTTGCATGTCCTGTTTGCCTCAATTCCATCTCCATCCACCCTTTGTGTCCCCATCTGACCCCCCACAACCATTTCCTTTTTACTCATCCTAAACTAGCCAGAGTCCCTCCTGTTGGGTGGGGATATTTCAGTGACTCAGGGACAATAGGCCAGCATGTCTGAGTTATCAGGAAAGTCCAGGCAATATGGGGTGGAAGAAAGAACTGGAATAAATCCATTTCAAATCATACTTTTGTCTCCATATGTTAGCTGCATGACTCTGGGCAAGTCACCAGCCCTCTCTGAGTCTTAAGTTCTCTATCTGTTGGGGCAAACAATGATATCCTGCACAGGGAGGACTGAGAGTAGAAATAGATACAATACCAAATGGATCCTAGTAAGGATTTTATTTTGAATATTATTACATAAGAATAACAAAATTATTCCATGGTTCAAAACTGTAATCCTAGCTACTTGGGAGGTAGAGAGATCTAGAGGATTGTCGTTTAGGGACAGCCAGGCAAATGTTCACGAGACCCCATCTCAACCAATAGTAGGGCACAGTGGCATGTGCTTGTCATCCCAGGTACACGAGGAAGCACAAATAGGATTATGGTCAGGCCAACCTAGACATAAAGTGAGGCCCTATCTCAAAAATAACCAACATGAAAAGGCTTTGGGGGCATAGCTCAAGTGGTACAGCACTTGCCTAGAAAGTACTGAGTTCAACCCCTAGTACCACCAAAAAAAAAAAAAAAAAAAAGAAAGAGAAAACAATATTCATTGTCAATATTAAAACTTAAATGATGGCCACCCTGAGGGTCCTGGCTGCTGGCCCTTGGAAGTTCGAGGCTGTGGAGGCCACCATCAGATGACAGCTGAGAGAGCTTGGGCTGGACTCATGGGCATACAGGGTACCAGTCTGGGGAGGGCTAGGGCCTCGGTGCTCTTGCCAGGAAGAGTAAATGTGATAGCTTTGGCAAAGTTGGCCTAAGCCTGAGTAAGGGAGAGAAGATGTGTGTATGAGATTAGGTGTTGAGGGCCACCTTTAAAGGGGCACTGAACATGGCCCTCCATGCCCGTCCCTAGCCTTAGTGAATCTGTAGGTAGTGATACCCCGAGCATGGTGGGCCACAGCTGAGGAGAAAATGCATGGCAGATGAGAAGCTGCAGGCCCTCCATACTTGCTGCAGAGACACTGATGAGTCGCGTCTTTCTTGAGGTAGAGTTGCCCAATGACTGGAGCAAGGGTTCTGGGTTGGGGTTCTCTGCATTTTCCACACAGAAGCTGTGTGGTCTGGAGCATCTCTTACTTCACTAAGCCTCCATTTCCCCATTTCCCATCGTATAGTCCTGGCCTGTGAGCTTAACTGAGACAGCACAGGTTGGGTGCTTTCCCCAAGGCCTGGTGGTCACAGTGACTGTGAGCTCTTCAGAGGGCTCCATGCTCGCTTTTGTTCGTCTCGCCTCCTCTTTGCTCCACTCCACAGACAGGGCCTGAGAACCTGCTGGAATCTGGGGACCAGATTCTGCCAGTACCCACAGAAAGAGCTCTGATCAGAGATGGAGACAGGATGGGCCGTCAGAGTGTAGGTGCACTCTTCAGATGGACACAGCCAGATGAGGAAACAGGAAGACTTCCTGTGGGAGGGGTGTATGGACTCCCAAGGTCAGAGGCTCAACAACAACTGCTGAGTGCCTTCCATGTTCCATGACAAAGATAGGAAAGGGAACCCTGCTTTAGGGTGCTTACCTTCTAGTCAGGACACGGAAGATACACAAAGGAACAAATGATCACAAGCAGTGTAGGTCCATGAAGGGAATAAAGAGACATGGTGAGGGTTGGACTGGGGAAGGCCTACAGGGCTGGCCCAGAGACCTGGAGGATCAGCAGGAGCTAGTCATAGAAAGATCTAGAGCAATGTTGTCCAGGCAAGGGGGCCAGGAAGGTTGTTTCTACCTTTTGGCTCTAGTGGATGCTATGAAGATTTGTGTACAAGTTTGTGTTTGCACATCTGTTTCAGTACTTTTGGATCTATAGCTAGGAACGGACTTGCTGGATCATTAAAATAAGTTTTTGAGGATCCACAAAACCATTTCCAAAGTGGCTATTAGTTTGGGTCCAGGTGGTAGATGAGTGATGGTGGCTTGGCAGAGAGGTGACAGTGGAGGGAGGTCTCCTGAGGATGAGTCTGACAGTGGAGTTGGTCAGTGAAGGAGGAGTAAGGGCAACTTCAGTGTCTGGCTGGCAGGGGCTGTTATTTCCTGAGATGGAGAAAACCCTTCTGTGTGTAGGGGAGCATGACTAGGGAGGTAGGACAGTCCCATTTTTGACATGCAACAAGTCAAAATGCATGTCAAAACATGTTGAAGATGGAACATGAAGGAGGTGGTGGGATCAAGGATTCCAGGTATGGGGTGAGGTGGGGTGGTTGGTCACTGTTATCCTGATGGAACTTAAAGCCATGGGCAGACTGAGTGCCTTGGGGAGAGAGGCAGGCTCATGGTCAAGTCCTGGCTCCCAGCATTATTAGAGGCAAGCAGAGGACCAGGAGAGATTGTCAGGCAACTGCAGAGGTCAGAGGAAAACCAGAGTGTGCAGTGTCTCAGAACTGAGAAAAGAAAGTGTATTAAGAAGGGAGGGGTTCACAATGGGGGGGCAATGTTAAGAGACAATGATGATGTCTACCTTGGATGCTGAGGCTTAAGGAAAAGCAAAAGATGTGTGTGCCCATGTCAGAAGACGGAGAACAAACATTCTTCGGAGCCTGGAGGTCTCGATGCACATTCAATCATAGTCGTGGATGTAAAATGGGACCAGTTAACATGACTATGTATTTTCCAAGTTTCTGCCTTTGATTGTACTTAGATCAGGCACAGTGTAAGAAACTAGACAGATTTTATTGGGGCTGGCTTTTTCTAAGCAAATATGACAGAAGCAGAAAGGGGAAAGAAAGTGTTTGTAGCAGGTAGTTAATGATGGGGCCTGAACTCTAAATGGGATAAAAAGAGGTAGTGAGGAAACACTTGGATCTCAACAGAGGGTCAAAGGATTGCTGGAATGAGTGTTCTAGAGAAAGCTGAGCTAGAAGGATAGAACATGAGTTGGGAGGTACACTGGATGGGTCATTGGAGGTCTGGAATGTCAGGTCAGCAAATGATCCTGGGATGCACTGGAAGGGCAGGATGCCAGAGAATGGCAATTTTCAGCCTCTAAACTGGTGATGATGGCAGCTTCAGTTAAAATTGGAGATGGGGCCAGGAGCTGGTGCCTCATGCCTGTAATCCTAGCTACTCAAGAAACAGAGATCAGGAGGATTGTGGTTTGAACCCAGCCCAGGCAAATAGTTCGAGAGACCCTATCTTGAAAAAACCCATCACAAAAATAGGGCTGGTGGAATGGCTCAAAGTGTAGGCCCTGAGTTTAAACCCTAGAACTACAAAACAAAAAAATTGGAGATGGGTCAAGGAGAGACATCCAAGAGGTATTTTGGGCTGGGCGTGGTGGTGCACACCTGTAATCCCAAACTACCTGGGAGGCAGACCCCGAAGATTGTGAGTTTGAGTCCAACCTGAGCAAAGTTAGGGAGATTCTACTTCAAAAAAACAAGATTGAAAAAAAAAATGGTGGGGGAGGGTGTGACTCAAGTGGTACAAGGCTTGCCCAGCATATGCAAGGCCTTGATTCAATCTCTAGTACTGCCAAAAAAAAAAAAAAGAAAAAAAAGATACTTCTGGTGTTCAGACTCCAGCATTAGTTAATGAACTGGATTTTGGATTTTGGGGTGAAAGGGTGAACTGCTGGTTCACCCTCCTTGAGAAGGAGGTGGAGGAGGCAGAAAGACAGGAGGCAGAGTGGGTGGGTGGGAGAGGTGCTCCAGGAAAGGCATTGCTGAACAAGGATGAACTCTTTTTGGGAGCACCTTGATGTCCCCCAGCCCGTGGGTTGTTTGAAGAGGGACAATGAGTTGCTGGTAGGCTGGGACGGGGCAGGACGTGCAGGACTTGAGGGACAGATGTGGGGTTTGTCTGCTGTCCTGAGGGCCGGGAGGAGTTCACCATTCTCGGTGAACAAAGAATGTCACCATTCTTGGGTGACAGAGCCTCACCCAAGAACCTTAAGGGCAGACCAAGTGTAATTAAGGTTCAGTCAGGACTGCAAATGGTGCCCAGAGGACTTTTGTTCTGTTTTTCCTGCCCCTAAGGAGGACAGCTGCTTTCTTCATTCTTTGCCAGCTTCATCCTCCTTCTGGAGTAAGCCTTGAAGAGGCCATGATTATTCTGACCCCAAGACTGCATGGAGAGATGGGAAAGGCCTGGTTTCTGTAGGGTCAAAGGCCAGTTTCACTTCCTGAACAGTGGCTCAGGCAGTACTCCAGCCCCATTCAGCCTCCAGTCTGGGAAGGGAGGTGGTCACCTGGCCTGCCGAGGGCCAGGGCAGAGCCTTGGGGTAGGGCTGTGGGCAGATCAGCTGTGACTTGTTTCTTCTGGGGGATAGATGCTGGAGGGAGAAGTCCAAGAGCCTGGGGCAGAATGGGAGTGAGGGCGGCATTGGGAGTCTAGGGCCCCAAATCATCCTTCCTGGGCATGGAACGATCAGGAAATATATACATATTTAGTACAGGTCCTTTTGCCTGGTTGCCTATTCTTATTACTGAGTTCTAAAGCAGATAACTTACGCAAGTATGTTTTTTGAAATTTGTTGAGCATTGCTTTGGGTCTAGAGGGAGAGCAATGTTAGTAAACTTTTCATGTGACTGAAAGTACATTCTGTAGTTTTTGGTGACAATGTTCTACCTGTGCCAATAAAGCCAAGTCTTTTGTGTTGTAAAAATTTTCCCTATCCTTATTGATTTATTGTGGCAAAATACAAATAGCATAGAACTTGCTATTCTAACCGTTTGGAAGTGTACAATTCAGTGGCATTAAGTATGTTCCTAATGATGTGCAAACATCACCACTATCTAGTTTCTGAACCTATTCATCTACCCTAAAAGAAGGTTCCTACCCACCAGCTGTCACTCCCAATCACCTCCTCTGCTCAGCCCCTGTAAAATGCTGATCTGCTCTTTTGTCTTTACAGACTTGTCTATTGCAGAGATCTCATATAGATGGAATCATATAATATCTGTCCTTCTGTGCCTGGCTTATTTCTCTTGATATAATGTTTTCAAGGTTCACCTGTATTGTAGCATGTAGCAGTACCCCATCTTTTTTATGGCCGAATAGTATTCCATTGCATGGATATGCCACATATGACATGTATGGATATGTTCATGTACATTTGAGCTCTTTCCATCTTTTGATTGTTTATGGATGTGGTGCTATGAAAATTTATGTACAAGTTTTGTCTGAATATCTGTTTTCAGTTCTTTTGGGTATATACCTAGGGCAGATTTGCTAGGTTATATGATAATTCTACATTAAGTGTTTTTTGTGGGGCAGTATGAGGGTTAGAACTCAGAGCCATGCACTTGCTAGTCTGGCACTCTACCACTTGGGCCCCATCTCTAGCCCATATATTGATAGGTTTTTGTATGTTGTACTACCCTGGAATTCCTAAAATGCGTTCCAGTTGGCCAGTGTGTAATCCTTTCAGCATGCTGCTGGAGTTGATTTGCTAGTACTTTTTTGAGGATTTTTGCATCTATAATTATGAGAATTTTTGATGTTTAGTTTCCCTTATGATGTTTTTGGTATCAGGGTGATGCTGGTCTTCTAGAATGAGTTAGAGAGGGGTCCCTCTCTTTAATTTTTTGGGGAGAATTTTGGAAGGACTGGTGTTAATTTTTCTTTAAATGTTCTTTAACATTTACCATGAAAGCTGGCTGGCCTTTGGCTTTTCTTTGTGAGGTTTTGATTTTTTTTTCCCCCCAGTGGTACTGGGGTTTGAACTCAGGGCCTTGTGCTTGCTAGGCAGTTGCTCTACAGCTTGAGCCACTTGCCAGCCTGAGGTTTTGATTATTGATTCAATCTGTCTCTCTTTTAATGGCAGTACTGGGGTTTGAACTCAGGGCTTTGAATTGCTGGGCACGTACTCTACCGCTTGAGCCATGCCTCCAGCCCTGATCATTCTCTTTACCTGTTACAAGTCTATTCAGATTTTCTATTTCTTTTTGAGCTAGTTTTTATAGTGTGTGTTTCTAAGAATTTTCCATTTTGGCTGGTGGAGTGGCTCAAGTGGTAAGAATGCATGCTGAGTAAGCATGAGGCTCTTGAGTTCAAACCCCAGTGCTGCCCCACAAAAAGAAAAAGACAGAATTTGTCCATTTCATCTAATTTTTTTGGCACATAATTGTGGTTCTTGCTGATTTTTTTTGCCTTCCTGACCTTTCTTAAGACACTCTAATTCCACCCACTGCCCTCTCAACTTACATGCTTCTCTGGGCTTTCATCTGGGGGTAATTTTCCTTCCAATTGAAGAACTCCCTTTAGTATTTTCTTTATTTCAGTTCTTTTGTTGAAGTATGACTGGGATGTTTCCCGGGGCCTCCTGTCCTGGGTGGGCCCTGAACTCCAGTTTTTGTTCTCTAGCGCCATGGGACCCACTCAGTTGCTCAGGTTTTGGGCTGTGCCTCAGGACCAAAGCTGCCCCTTTCCATCTTCCCTCCTCTGCAGGATCTTCAGCTTTGAATTCCTCCCTACTTTTATATTTCTCCAGTGTCTTCATACAGATGTTTCATTGTTCCTTTGCAACAAGAGAGGTCTGTCATTACTAGGATTAGAAAACCTTGTCTGGTTTTCCTAATGAATGGCTGGAAATTTTCAGTGTGTGTAACTCAAAGACAATATTGCCCTTTTGTATCTTCTATTATGGATGCACATGCAATGCTATATGCTTATGTACACACAGAGAAAAAAAATATGGAAATATACAAAACAAATGTAGATCAAGGCCCAGATAAGATCTTTTCTCCTCAAACCTTTGGAAAAGGTTTAGAAAGTTCTTGTTTGTCAGCTACTTATAAAGCCTTACACCAATTGGTCATGCCTGGAATCCCAGTGAGGAAGGAGGCTTGTGAGCTCAAGGCCAGCATGGGCCATATAGTGAGTTCTAGACCAGCCTGGACTACATAATGAGACCCTGTCTTAAAAAAAAAAAAAAAAAACCCAAAAACCAAAAAACCTTATATCATTGTTTTCCAAGTTACTTCTGTGGTGTATGAATGGCCCGCATGATGTTAATGGATGCTCTTTGCTAAAATGGTGCCAAAGTCAATCAGTTTGGGAAAGCATGTGGAATCCTCTCAGAGAATCCCAGCACACACAAGCATGTTAAAGTCTCTGAGATGTGTAAATAGATTTATTTGATTATAATTTTTTTTTTGAGAGACCAGGGTTCTGCAGTTAAGTCTGGGGAGATACTGCCTTATGACAAACCCAAATCCCTAAAACCTCACAAAGATGAAGGCCACCCAGTGCTTCCTCTGGTGTGGACGTACCAGGGAGAATCTGAAAGTGTGACTCAGGTGGTGGGCTTGGAGGGTTTGGGCCCATCTACTGCTCAGTAGTTAACACAGGCAGAACTCGGGGGCACAGCTCCTTGTTTGTGCCTCCAGGAATGAAACCATCTGCTCAGGTTTTTTTTTGTATCAGTCAGCTCAGCATGGGGCACCAGTGTGTGCTGGTGGAAACTGATTTTTGGTCTCATAAAGGCCAAATTCTCCTGTACTTCATCTACCTCTTGGAGGTCTTGCTGCCTCTCTGTGCAGGGTGAGGCAGTTGTGGCGGAATACACAGAGCTTCTGCTCAGGAGCCGAGAAGCCTGGGCTTAAGTCCTGGTGCTGAGTGACCTTGGCAGAGCTAACCATGGAGGAGCGGGTGAGATCATTGGCTTTGATGTCAGACACACTTGGCCCTTCCACCTCCCTGCTGTGTGACCATGGGCACATCACTCACCTCTCTGCACCTCATTTCCTTATCCTGTTGTGAGAAGGAAATAAGTAATGCATGTCAAGTACAACACCTGGAACTGAGTAGGTGTCCAGCAAATGTCAACTATCCCAATGCTTCATCCAAACCCGGCTTCTTCATCTGAATTTGAAGAGAACCCCAACCTTTCATAATGCTTGAGAATCAAATAGAATCTTCACTGTGAACGAGAGTTCTTATCAACTCTTAGAGACAAAGAAAAGTTAGGGAAGTTTTACTTTTATTACCACCCTTGATGCTGCCTCATCTTTTCTGGCTAGGCAAGGTAGGACAGGGCGTGGGACCACATCAGTCTCCTTTCCTGCTCTCAGAAAGAACCATTTCTCCATTACAGAACATTGGCAAGAAGATGTCCTGCCAGCAATTCATTGCCAACCTGGATCAGCTGAATGATGGTCAAGACTTTGCCAAAGACCTGCTGAAGGTATTACCTGCTAAGGGTCCCCATTACCTCCAGCCATTCCCTATGGGGTGGAAAGAAGTCTCTGCCCCACTAAATCTTGAAGTTCCAAGCCCTTAATACTGAGGGAGGGGCTGCAATGACTTTGGGACAGAGTTGGAGATCATCCAGCTCAATATGACCATTATGTGTTCCCTGAGTTAGCCAGAGGGGTGGACTGTGTGAGATTTGTTAGTGCTCCAATTGTCATCATTGCTATCACAGTAATAATCATCACCAGCAATTGTCACAGCTGTCCCCAGTCACTACCTCCTCTACTACCACTGCTACCACCACCACCACCATAATCATCACCACAGGGAAAAGCCAACTCCTTCTTCCAACACCACCAGGAATGAAAGGAATCTGTTTTCATTTGAGGCTGAAATCCAGGATGGATTTCTGGCCTTTCTAGTCAGGGTCATTCATCTTAGAGAAAGAAGAAAAAACTGGTACCAAGGTCACTCAGCACCACAACTTGAAAAAAGAACATCATGAGTTCTTTTTTAGATAGTGAATTTTAGCAACCTGTTGGTGCCAGGAAGGGAGTTTAATGGTGTGTCTGGAGGTAAATATGTACAATTATTAAATGTCAATTAAAAATAAACTAAAAAAGAGAACATTGTCTTCACCTCTATTTTTACCATAATTATTCTTCATCATCCAGAAACACTTGTTGCAAAACATACCTATGAGATCCAACCATCACCCATCTATTCACTTCTCCCCATCTACTCATTCGTCTTTCTACCCACTTCTCCACCCACCCACTCATTTCCAGATCCATCCATGCATGCATCTGTCCACTTAGCCACTTAATCACTCACCTACTCTTACACCACCCACTCGCCCATCACCCACAATACACCAAACACTCTTTCATATACCAGCCACTCACCCATTCACCCATACACTTACTCACCCGTGTTCTCATCCATCCATCCAACCACCCATTCATCCATCCATCCTGTTGAGCACTTACAGTATGTGGACTTCTAGATTATACCTTGAAGAGTCAGTGGTGAGCAAGATAGACAACTCCCAACCTTGTGAAGTTTATAGTCTCCTGGGGGAACAGACAATAAATGACTGAATAACTAAACACCACCCATCTATTCATCCACCTATCCAATCATTTATTCATCCAACAAACAAGTATGAAGCAAACACCCCCTTTACCCCATTAGCTACAAAGGTGCTCCCTCACTACACCCACATTGCTGGAGGTGGATGGGGAACTCTTCTCTCTTTTCCCTCTCCCAGACCCTATACAACTCCATCAAGAATGAAAAGCTGGAATGGGCCATGTGAGTAGTGCTCATGGGCACAGGTGTGGGGAGACTGTGTCACTGGGAGAGGGAGTGGCTGGGGGGTGCAAGTTAGTCACGCTGACCACTCTCCATGGTGCTGATTTCCCCAACCCAGGGCCATGATGACCCCTGTCCAGCTTGCCAACAACCGTCGTTGAATTTCCCTTTGGGTTCATTTTCTGACTTGATTAAAAGTGTGCAGTGTTTACATTGCTATGGAGCAGATTGAACTGAGTATTTAGTTCTAGGATGTTCACTTAGGATATTGCCAAAGTCCCACCAATGATGGCTCTTTCCCCTTTGGGAAAGGCAGGAGACACAAGTCCCACACAACCCTGAGAACGTAAGCATGTTTAGGTGGTGACTGCTTTTAGCAGTAGGGGGGTGGCTGGCCCCTAACTTCTTCCCTTGTGAAGGCTGTGAGACTTAGAGGGATGCAGCCATTTGGAAAGTGAGTGGAGATCTTACTGATTGAGAGACTGTGAGAGGAGCTGGGGGAGCCCCTCCCTGCTGTGCTTCCCAGGTCAGCCTGTGTCTTTGGGTCTGTATAGAGGGTCAGGCTCAGGTACCCCAACCCCATTGGGGAAAGCTGGCAGTCTTTTTCCAGGGCTCCCATGGTGGACCCGGCCCTCCGTGGCCTGGCTCTCAGGGGCCTTACTCACTGGTTTGCTCTCTACCCGCGTGTTGGTGTGTTTTCTGCAGTGATTTCAGTCTGCCATGGGTCTAGGCTCTGTGGATTGGAGAGAGGAGAAAGAAGACTGGGAAGGGGACTTGGAGATAGTGAAGGCTACAAGTTTGGGATTAGCTTAGAGGCCCCAAACCAAATATCAGAGGTTAGGGGTCAGAACCGAAGGCTGAGGGGGAGGGGTCAGAGATCTGAATTTATTCTCTTTATCTCTGCCTCTCATGGTTGCCCTTCCTCTCCAGCCCTGTTTCCCAGAGGGGTGGCTGGTGGGAGAGGCCATGGCAAAATGGTGCTGAGACCTCCCTGGAGGTGGTGCTCAGGCCTGGTACCTTCCTAGTGATGAGGATGAGCTAAGGAAATCTCTGTCTGAGCTGGTGGATGACAAGTTTGGGACAGGCACGAAGAAGGTGACACGGATCCTGGATGGTGGCAACCCCTTCCTGGATGTCCCGCAGGCTCTCAGCGCCACCACCTACAAGCATGGTGTGCTGACTCGGAAGACCCACGCAGACATGGATGGCAAGAGAAGTGGGTGTCAGGCTGGGGAAGGGGAATGGGAGGGATGCTAGCTCATGAGGGCCCGCCCTTTGGCCACTCGTTTGAGGATGCACACGCAGGTGGACATGAAGGGGGAGGCAGGGTAGGAAATACTGGAGTACGTAGTTGTGGCCACACTACCCATGCCCCCCTCCTCAGCACCCCGTGGGAGGCGAGGCTGGAAGAAATTCTACGCCGTGCTCAAAGGGACCATCCTGTACCTACAGAAGGTGAGAGACTGCCCCAGAATCCTTACCTAAGAAGGACCTAAGCTTTGTCTTACCCAGTCCCTGCTCATGCTGCCCAGAGGCTCCTGGGAAAGACCTTAGGGGGAACTGAGTCCTTCTTCTATCAGAGGTCTGATTCATGCTCACTCTTGGAAGTTTGGGGGAGGGGGTCTTTGAAATGCCTTGTCACTCAGTGGATACCCAGTGTCATGTCTCTGGGTTAGACCAGGGTGCAAAGGAGGGGACCTGAACTGCTTCTTCTCTCCTCCTCCTCCTCTTCCTCCTCTTTACCTCCTCCTCCTTCTCCTTCTCCTCTTCTTCTCCTTTTTCCTTTCCTCCTTAAAGGCTGCTTTCCTCCTCCTCCTCCTCTTCCTCCTCCTCCTCCTCTTCCTCTGTGCTGAGGTTTGAACCCAGGGCCTGTGTTTGCCAGGCAGATATTCTACCACTTGAGTCACACCCCTAGCCCAGCCCTTGTGTTGTAGGTAATCTTTCGAATAGGGTCTTGTGTTTATGCCCGGGTCAGCCTGGACCAAGCTTCCTATTTATACTTTCCACGTAGCTGGGATGACAGGTGCATACCACCATGCCCAGCTTTTTATTGGTTAAGATGGGGTTTCAAAACTTTTCTCCTGGGCTGGCTTCCAACCTCCATCCACCTGATCTCTACCTCTTGAGGAGCTAGGATTACAGACCTGAGCCACCCTGCTCCACTCGGAGTGATTCTTGTCAAGGTAGAATATGTGAGGCAGTAAACTAGAGCCTGGCAATGACAGAGCACCTCCCAACCCAGGACGAATACAGGCCTGACAAGGCTCTGTCAGAGGGAGACTTAAAGAATGCCATTCGTGTGCATCATGCTCTGGCCACTAGAGCTTCAGACTACAGCAAGAAGTCCAACGTGCTCAAGCTGAAGACAGCCGACTGGAGGGTCTTCCTCTTCCAGGCACCGTAAGTGGCACTGGAGCCCCTCATTTCCATGTGGACTTACGGCCTGCAGTACCAACCTACACGAGCCACTCTTCTGCTGTCTCAGGGTAGACGCTCAGCTTTCTGTGCACATCAGCTACAGAATGAGTGTGTCTGCTTGACACAGACTAATAGCTGCTTCGAGTCCTCCAAAGCAGTGGTTCTCAAAGTGTGGTCCCCTCAGCATTACCTAGAAACTGGCCCCAACTTAGACCCATGGATCAGTAAGGCTGTGCCTTACCAAAGCCAGCAGGGGCTGCTGGTGTATGCTGAGGTCCCTGAAGGACAGGGCTGACAGAATCTTTAGGAATCATCCTTGATTCTAAATTTAGGAGAAAGTGGGAAAGACTCCCTACAGCTGACCTGTAAGGCCTTCCTTCCATTCTATTGTACCCCATCCTTCGTAACTTGAGATTGGGATTTTCATGTGTCAGATGAGCTGCAAAGGACCTGGGGACCAGAGTGTAAGTGCTGAGTGGGTGTCAGGAGAAGGACAGAGGTTGTGGAGGGACCACCACTTGCTCACTGCCGCTGTTGAGCCTCTGAGCTCATGGGCTCCAGGGCTGTTAGCTCAGGGGCATTAGTTCTAGGCCTGGGCAGGATCATTTTCAATGAAAGTTTAGGCATACCTGGGAGCTGAGACAAAAGAGGGCTCCCTGCATGTCTCTGACCAGGCCCATTTAATCACCCGCCCACTCACTCTCCCTCCCTACTTTCCTGTCTGTATAAAGGTATTAGGGCCTTTTCTGTGCCAGGCCTATGCTGGGTGCAGGGGGGACTTAGATAGAAAGTCCTATTGTGAGAAGCCAGCACCCTGCCTTCTCGTCTCCTGTCCCTAGGAGCAAGGAAGAAATGCTGTCTTGGATCCTGAGGATCAACCTTGTGGCTGCCATTTTCTCAGCCCCAGCTTTCCCAGCAGCTGTCAGCTCCATGAAGAAGTTCTGTCGGCCCCTTTTACCTTCCTGCACCACTCGCCTCTGCCAGGTATGCGCTCTTCGGATCATGGTGCCACCTTCCTAAGCTTCTGCCCCAGCTCAGTCCCCCATTCTTCACCCCCTCCCCAGCTCCTTTTTTTAGGGCCTGTTTCTGGGCTGAGGGACACCATAGCAGATATTCTTTCCCATTCCACCCCTCACTCCATGTATAAAAGGGAAGGCCGAGGCCACACATCACATACTACACTGAGGCCAGGCTGTGCTGTGTTGGGCAGCACAGGCAAACTTTTCTGCCAATGGCGTTGCATCTCTGTGGGTGTGATTGTGAGTCTGTGGCATTGTGTGAGTCTGGGCATGAATATGAGAGGATGTGTGTGCTACAGGGAGTTAGGGACAGGTGAGACTTGGCTGACCCTTTATCCAGTGCTCTTTTTTAAAAAAATTATTATTGACGCAAATTAATTGCACAAATTACTGGAATTCATTGTGATATTCCCATACATGCATACAACATGCACCAGTCATGTCCATCTACCCTTCCCATTCTCTAGTAATCCCTCTTCTACTTTCAGGTCACCTTTTTAATACTATTGTTTAGTTTCCACACATGAGAACATGTGATAGTTGTCTTTCTGTGTCTGGCTTATTTGGCTTAACATGATGTCCTCCAGTTCCATCCGTTTTGCTGCAAATGGGATTACATTCTTCATTATGGCTGAGTTAATACCCCATTGTGTATATAAACCCCATTTTCTTTATCCATTCATTTGTTGATGGGCACCTAGGCTGATCCCATAGCTATTGTGAATAGTGCAGCAATAAACATGGGTGTGCAGGTGTCCTTATTGTATGTTGACTTACTTTTCTTTAGATGTATACTCAGGAGTTGTATAGTGGGATCATAAGGTAATTTTGATTTTAGTTTTTGAGGATCCTCCATACTGATTTCCATGGTGGGCTCATTAATTTACATTTCCACCAGCAGTGTATAAGGTACAAGGGTCTCCCTTTTCTCCACATCCTCACTAGCATTTGGAAATACTGGGGTGGAGCCCAGGGTCTTGTACTTGCTAGGCAGGCATTCCAGCACTCGAGCACACCCCCAGCCCTCACTAGCACTTGTTATTACTTGTTATTTTGTGATAACACCCAGTGCTCTTTTGATGTCCTCACATGTTTTATTTGTAAACCTACAAAAATCCCATCTCATCAATACTCAAGGTTTTTAGGGTAATTTTGGAGAGGAGAAGATAAATGGTGGCCTTGAGAGGCAGAGGACCCAGAAGTTCCAAACTTCCTTTCTTTTTTGGCTGTTGACCACTTTCCTATTGGAACCTTGTCTTTCTATGGAGCTCCAGGGACTTCTGTGTCTGCCTGGAGCCCCCATGTGTGTACACACAGTAAACACAGAAAAACCATGTACATGTACACACCACATAGGTACACATATGCACAAGTGCACACATACAGTGTAATCACACATACCTACCTGCCCCATATGTGTGTCCTCAGATACATGTATGTGCACACTGCTCTAAGGGGCCTGACTGTACTGCAGTGGGTTGGATGCATGTACCCTTGTCTGTCAATGATGGTGTGCCAGTCTATCTGTAGATGTGATCTTGGATATGTGACTGCCATGTGTATCTGAGAATGAATGTGTCATATGGAGCCAGGGATAACTGCAGCCAGGATGCCCCTCAGCCTGGTGTGTTTGTGTGCACATGTGACTTCCTATGAACTGGGGGTATGTTTGGGGAGTGTGTGTCTGTGTCACAGAGTGTGTGTGGGCAGATATGCATACATATGACAGTCTCTTACCTCCTGAATCTAGTGGACATTAAGAGGGATCAGTGTGCATGTCCCTTGCCCCTGGGAGCAAAGGGAGAAAGGAGAAAGGTGGGAGGATCACCCACTTGGGGTCCACAGCCTGGTTCTACCACCATGGATTTGGGAACACTGGCCAGGCTCAATTTACCTTTGGTGAAGAAGCTCCTGGTGGGATGGGGTTAGACCCACCCCCGTGACATCCCAAGAGTCAGGCCTCACAGTCCAGGACTTGTCTTTGCAGGAGGAGCAGCTTCGGTCTCATGAGAATAAGTTGAGGCAGGTGGCTGCAGAGCTGGCTGAGCACAGGTGTCATCCAGTGGAGAGGGGCCTCAAGTCTAAGGAGGTAGAGGAGTACCGGCTGAAGGAACACTATCTCACGTTCGAGGTGGGCCTTGGGCAGAAGAATGGTCGAGTGTGGGTGTAGGGACACAGGAGGAGACCATCTCCCACCCTCCCCTCCCAACCCACCATCCTTCCACAGCAGGGGCTCCTAGTTTGGGAGTTCCTCATACTAGGAGCTCCCCTGAGACAGGTGTAATCTAATCATGAGCTATGGCCTCCTCTTGGCCAGTCTGGCTACCAAATGCTAACTAATCAATCTCACCCTCACCTGGATTCCTTCCCCACCCCCACCTCCAAGACAGGCCCAGCTTCTCTCTCTCTCTCTCTCTCTCGCTCTCTCTCTTTTTGGTGGCACTGGGGTTTGAACTCAGATCCTCACGCTTGCTAGGCAGGAACCAATTGAGCCACTCTACCAGCCCTAGGCCCAGCTTCTCTAGAAGCTTTTACAACCAGCTCACAAAACTCTCAAGCCATGTCCACCTGACTTCTTCTGCCCCTGGCCTGATTTTTCTCTTACACATATATTTATCAAGCAGAATAACTTAATCTGCCCTTCTATGCTGCCATCTTTCTGTCTCATCTCTCTTGCCCACTCACTACCCTGATTCTACACAACACTCTGCAGAGGGGGCTGACCAAGTGTCACTTTTATTGGGTGAAGGCTGGGAAGGTCAGGTTAGGGAAGAAAGGCAGGAAGCACTTGTCCATTTTGGACTGCCCTGCAGATGAGGATGGGCAGACAGACAGAAAGGCCGAGACTGAGCCAGGAAGTCTCCAGAGCAGGAGGGGCAGGCATCACTAAACTGTCTCTAGATTTCCACATTGACTTTCTATGGAGGTGTAGAGGAGAATTACTTTTGGAATTCTTCTCAAATCTACTCTGCAATGTGAAAATAACAATGGGAAAAGCTATAGTGGATTGCCCTCTATGACTGAGTTCATCCTCATATTAAGTCTGTGAAAGGGTTCTGTTGCTATCCCCGTTTTGCATATGGGGAAATTGAGGCTCCAAGAGGTCAGAGAACTTGCCTGAAGTAATACAGCAGGATCCAGAATCCTAATTCAATGATTGACTACCGCTTCAGTGCTCTGGTCTTTTCCAGTCTCACCTGGCTTGATGGAGGGGTGGGGACGAGGTGAATCCTGGTCGATAGACCTGAGAGAGAATGGGTTCCCTGACAGTCCCTGATCCTTCCAGGACACCAGCCTCTCATGACTGTGGTTAGGGCCTCAAGTTCAAGACTCAGAAATGGCTAAATCTCCCTTCTAACACCAATTTTAATCCCTTTAATATTTTATAAATGTACCTATTTCTCTGTGCCCTCACCAACATTGTCAAATGTTTTAAACTTCACTAATTTGATAGTTTTAACAATTGGTGTCTCATTACTATTTTAATTAGATTTAACATTTTTAATGTAGTGGTAAAGAATATAACAAAATTTATCATCTTGGGGATTGAGGGGAGTTGGTCCAAACAATGCATACGCATGTGAGTAAGTGTAAAAATGATAAAAAAAATCATCTTAATTTGAAATGTATAGTTGAGCAGTAAATCTACTCACATTGCTGTACAACCAACCTTCAGACTTTATTTCCAAAACTGAAACTCTGTAGCCATTAAATAATAGTACTCTATCCTTTGATGTACAGAAGTTTCAAATATCAATGACTTTTGTTGCTTGTGCCTTCGGTGTAATATCCAAGAAACCATTGACAATTATCTGGATATTTTGAATTACTAGTGAAATTTATATGGCTGTCCCTTGTCTATTTTTATTGTATAGTTTTTTTCCTTTTTATTGATTTGTGAGTGCTCTCTGCATACTAAGGAAATCAGTCTCTTCTTATATAAGACACAAATACTTTTTCCCACTTTGTTGTGTATTTTTTGACCTTGTTTTTGACTTTTCTCTGTCCTTTCCCCAGAAAAGCCGTTATGAGACCTATATCCACCTCCTGGCTGTGAAAATCAAAGTGGGATCAGATGATCTGGAGCGGATTGAGGCTCGGCTGGCCACTCTGGAAGGGGATGACCCTTCTCTCCGGAAGACACACTCCAGCCCCGCACTCAGCCAGGGTCATGGGCCTGTGACTGGCAGCAAAGCCACAAAGGATGCCACTGGGCCTGACACTTAGCTGGTTTGGACGTATAGGCCCTGGAGGCAGGCAAATGATCATTGAGGGGTCAGTGAGCACAATTCCAGCCAGGTGCTGCTTGTAATAAGCTCCAGGCAGCTGATGGCGACCAGAGGGCTGTGGAGGGTACTATGGGCCAAGGAGATGGAGATGTGTCATACATGGTGTTGGTCTTCTTACAGTCCGAGCCATCTCTGGTCTTGACCCTCTCACTTTGTAGGCCAGGGTGTGTGCTCTAGCACCTCTACACTGGAGAAGGTGGGAGTCATTGCTTTCCCAGGTCCATTTCTCCTCATCAAGCTGTTTCATCACCCCAGTGTTTGTGAGGGCAGGTCTGGACTCCATGTTTCAGCTTGAATCCCCTCCCTTTCTCTTCCTTCTTCTGAACTGACCAGCAGCAGGTCTGTGGACCACCAGCACCGTCCTTTCCTCCTTCCTCCCAGCAACCTCTGCGACAGGCCCAGTTCTCCTGCCTCCTATCGCAATAATCTGGGGCCAGGCCTGCCTCCACTCAGTGCCAAGCTGACTCCACTCATGTGCATCCACCTCTCCTTCCGTCCCATGGAGGCCTCCATGGCCTCTTTTTTATACAGACATAAATGTATATGTATATATATATAACATATATATATATATATATATATATATATATATATATATATATGAAACTGCTGTAAAGGTTTTGGAACTGTTAGCAGTTAGAGGATGAAATCAGATGAAGGGAAAGCCTATTTTGGAGCTCCGTCTGTTAGTAAGGAGGTCTGCCATGGGGCTCTTGTGACTTGACACTCTGGGAGGGAAGATGGAGATAGTGTTGAACTCTTCTTCCCCTTCCTTTTTCCTTTTCAGGCCAAATGGAAACTCACAACTGCTCTTCCAGTTGATGCCTTTGGACTAAATGTGTGTGCCACCCCTGCTGTCCCAAGAATGTCCTGGGGGGTGAATGGGATGTGACTACAGCTCTGTTTGTACTTGGGGCTTCATGTAGGTGCTGCCAGGTCTCTGAGTGCCAGGGGTGGCCTCTTTACAGACCTACTGGCACAGGAATAAAGACACTTCACCTTGCAGAGAGCCACCTGTCAACAAACCCAAAGCCGTGGTAGAGGAAGTCCATGGAAGCCATTAATTCTTGGTCTTGAGGAAAGGTGGAATGACAAATTGCTGATTGTTGATATTTCTTATCAGAAAAGCTCAGCTAAGAACATATCTGGGAAGAACAGAGACATTTGTTACATGCCCATCACAGATTGGTATTCCTCAGACCAACAAGTGGGTGGGGTTGTCAACAGCTCTGATGGGCCAATCCTTCCTATTGTTTAAATAGATTACTGTAGTTTGGCCAGTAATTTGACCTCTGTGGAGCAATTTGACCTCTGTGGTAATGTATTTAGTTAATAAAGTAAGCCAGCCTTGCCACTAAGCACCTAACATTTACAAGCCCACTCAAATTTGATGCAGGGATGTGTGAGGATGTGGAGAAATGTAATGATTTAAATCCAGATTATTTAAGTTGGATCAGCTGAAGTGTATTTTGTAACCAAACCATCCAGCCCCTTTGTTTTGCTCAGGGGAAGTAAATGTTCATTTAAATGAAATTAAAAAGGCAGTGTAAGAGCCTAAGAATGCTCTCTGTACTTTCTCCGTGCTGCCTCAAAGGTCCTGTGATTTTTGGATCAGCGCCCCATCCTCCACTTCATGAGGTGGTGATGACAGCAGAGGAGTGGGCTCCGTCAGCCTCAGACAGATGTGCTTCCCCGAGCACTAGTTGTGCCTCCCATCAGTAAAGACATTTTTATTTAGTTTTCTTTCTCAATTGTATAATTATTTATTTGTAAATTATATACATGTACTACTGTACTAAAATATTATGTACATTACAAAACATACACAAAAATAGAAATTTAAAAAAGATGAGATGAAAATAAATGTAAATCAAAGTTCTAATATTTCCTCCCTCATTCTAAAGGACCATCATGCTTCCAGCCCTCCTACTCCCCTCTCCCCAACCTCTGCCACTAATGTGCTCATTTCTAGCCAAATCCAGGGCCAGGTGGTTTACACCATCTGGTGGTCCAAGGAAGTCCCCCCCTCACCTCACCTTGGGTGTTGGGGAAGGGATATTGCTCAGGGACTCCTGAGGGCTGACCCTTGCTGACAGTCTTTTGTGTCTCCTTCACCTCTTATTTAGTGAAGTCAACTGTGTGCTATAAACTGTGCTGGGTGCTGGGGACAGTGTGGTGAGCAAAGTTAAGCCAGTTCCCTGTGCTCATGGAGCTTGCAGTGCAGTGGGGGAGAGCGGGGCAGACAGTTACCATTGCCATTTAGGACCCTGGGAAGGACCGGGAGAAAAGTCAAAAGTGACTTGGAAGATGGAAGAAATTTGGGGAGTCAGGAAGAAAACTGACCCAGGAAACCGCTTGAATGTCCTGTGTTTCAGGTGACAGGGTGGTAGAAGCAAAACTGGTTACCAGGAGTGTGATGCTTCCTGAAAGGCCACACTGAAGATTCCCTAAGTAAGAAATTTGAGAGGCAAAGTAGGGAAGGGACCTCTCTGGTAAAATGTGCTCCCAGGTCTCAGCCACACCTGTGTATTGCATGGTTGGATGAGATGATGAGAAAAAAGCCAAGGAATTATTTTAGGTTCTGGCCTTAGACTCTTGGCAGGTAGCTTGGAATCCCGAACAGATAATGAAGGTACCAAATGAGGTCGTGCACCGGTCAATGAGTTCACCAAGAAGTCACTCAGTTAATTGGGGAGCCATATAGAGATGGGTGAGTTCAAGTCATACAGTTGGTTTCTGACTGAAATTTAGAAGATGACAACCCAGAACTCTTTGAAGGGTCAAATGAGGACACTTAGCTGGGTCATGATAAGGTCAATAAGTTCATGAAGAAGTCATACGTAGGTAATTTGGGATCTCCTAGAAGTCAGAGTTCACATAGAAGGATTACTTGCCCTCAGGCAAATTTAAAGCCAACTTCAAATTCAAAGAGTGTAGAGAGGTCCAGATGAGCTCATCTGATGGGGCCCAGGACAGCTTGTGCAGCATTCAGTTTATTAATTTTCCTTTGTTTCTTTGTAATGGGTGCTTCCCCAAGCACCCCATAATGAATACAATGACTTTAGTCCTTCCTATACTTTTCTCCATCACCTCCCTCTCATCCAGTTCTTGCCACGCTGTGTGATTCCAATGTGCAAGGTTCAGGATACTGTGAACAGCACCATCAAGGTAGCCACCAAGGTAGGCAAGCCATGTCTGTAATCTCAGCCATCCTCTCAGGTAGGCATTCGCAACCTTATTGCACATGGAGACTTCAGCCTGGAGAAGTCACACAGGTAGCGAGGGGCAGAGCTGGCATTCGAACCCAGGCCCCCTCAATCCTATTCCTCTCTGTCCCTTATAGCTGTAGGTCTCTGACTATGCCCATTCTGGGGGTATTAACACTCATGCGCGCTCATACACACAGGTGCACATGCTTGCCTCAATTCTTAGGAGAGAAGACAGTATTCTGGCTGGAATCTACTGGTTCCTGGTGCGGGGGGACTAGTTTAATAAGTTAGTCAACGAGAGGAAAGACTTCTTAACTTTGTGCCTTTTCAGTACCTGAAATCCTGGACCTTTATCAGCCTGCGAGTGTAGACAGGCTCTGGCTCTGAGGGGGTATAAAGTTGAGGAAAGAGCAATGCCCTGTGGACTCAGGAGCAGCAGCTGCTACCGTCCTCCTGGCAGCGAGGGTATCCATTATGCTGCCTTGCATGTCCAGACTTTGCCTGTGACGTGCTCAAGGCCCCAAGGGTCATCAGCTGCCCCAGTGCCAACACCACAGCTCTTCCCTCCTCACCCACCTGGGCCGGAAACTGTTGCCTCAGTCCAGCCCTGTAACTCCAGGGCAGGAACTGGGCCAGAGTTCTGAGGCTGAGTTTGAAGCAGAGCAATTTGCGTCAGTCCGTTGGCCAGGTTCCCTTGCAGCAAGGGGGGACACTTTGTAAATGTTTTTGTTAGAGGGAGGAGGGAGCTACCTGGGAGCTGGGGTCCAGAGAGACTGGAGAGAGGGTCAATTTCTTTTAGGGACCACCCTGGCTCTCTCCAGTCTCCACCCCAACACCCATCCACCTCACCTGGGGCTAGGCACACACAGTCAAACAGGAATTATTTCTGATTTTATTCGTAATATAAAAATGTTCAAGTGTCAACAGTCAGGTGTTCAGACATTTCAGGGCAAGGTTCCCATTCGTTTCTGTTTGGGTTTTTTCTTTTTTTTTTTTTTAAACAATTGCCTTTTTGACAAATTAGCATTGGATCCAGTTTTGGGGATTGGAGAGGGCAGGACTAGTGAGGGAGTGGTCATAGGTGGACTGGGGGGTGGGCTGTGAGAAGAAATGGTGTTACTTTATTGCTAAAAAGGGGATCGAATACACTGTCGAGTGGCTCTTCTCGGTCCCAGCGTGACCATGCATCCAATCTAAATCTGAAATGCAAAGGACATGCAGGCATAAAATAGAAAAGACGACCTGTAAACGAAGGTGCTGCAGAGGACAGAGGGCGTCCTGGAGGCCGCAGGGGAGGAGGAGCTGTGAACATTGGGCCCCTGGTAGAGCTGCCCCCTCCCTGGGCCGGGGCTGGTGGGGAGACCTCTTTCTCTGTGCCCCTCCATAGCAGCTGTGAGGAGCGGGGAGGGCCCCTCCCCATTCTGGTTGCTGTAGCAGGGCTGTTGTCTCCCCCTGGAAGTTACCTAACCCCAAATCTGGCTCTAAGTCTAGGATCCCTAGCTTTTCCTCCCCGGAGTTCTAGGACTCCAGATCTGGTGGTCTGGGGGGCAAAGTTACTTCTGTCTTCATTCCCCCTCTCCGCTCCTCTCGGCCCCACCAGAGCCCCGCAGCCTCTCCTTTCCATTCCCTGCGTTTGCTCACCCCTACTAGCTCGGGATCCTACAGGTTCCCGCTCGCTCCCTGTAACCCAGACGTCTCTCCAGGAGCCCCAGATTAGCGTACAGCAAAAGGCACCACAATATAGGTTTCTATTAAAGAGTCAAAAAATTGGCCCATCTCTCTTTTTTTTGTTGTTTCTTTTTTTTTTCCGAAGCTGTAAATCAGGATGTTACATATAAATAGTTTCCCTATAAAAACGTCTTTGCCGTTAGCTAGTATTATAAGACAATTTTTGCTAAAATGAAAATAAAACATTTTGTTATACTTTTTCCTTTTATAGAAAATAAAAATATTTTTATTTCTTTTTTTCCCTCCTTTCTCCAGCCGGTGGTCTCTGTTCTCCTTAAAGACAGTGGGGCGGGCAAGGCGGAGGGCGCCCTAGAGGGGCGCGGAGTCCTGCTTGGCCCGCGGGGAGGGCCCGCGGCTGTGTCTGCTGCTGGCCCGCGTGCTGTGGCTGTCCAGGGAGTAGTAAGTCCTGCTGTCGGCCGCCGGGCACAGCGGCGGCGAGTCCGAACGCAGCGCGTCGTGCGCCGCGCGCAGGCCGAGAAAAGGCGTGCTCTCGGCTGCCAGCGCCCCGTCCGCGTCGTCGTCCGAGGCAGACGCCGAGCCGCAGCCCGAGCCGCTGCTCAGCGACAGCGAGTCCCGCGCCGCGCGTGCGCGCTGCGCCGCCAGCCCGTTGAGGCGCGAGCGGCGCCAGCGCCGGGGCCCCGCCGACGTCCTGCGGGACGCGCCGCGCGCGCGCGGCCGTGGCGGCGGCGGGGGCGCGCACTCCTGCGTGGTCTCATACTCGTCGTCCTCCGGGATGCGGAAGGGACTGGCGGGCAGGCTGCCCAGGCTGCCTCCGAGCGCGCAGGCCCCGCGCCGCGGCCCTGGCCCCACCACGGGGTAGTAGTAGCTGTCGTAGCTGCGTTGCATGTCCGCGCCGGGTCCAGGCCCCGGGCCGGGGCCGGGGGGCGCCGGGTGCCGCAGAAGTGGCTGCTGCTCCGCGAGGCGGTAGCTGATGGGCGCGGCGGGCGGCAGCGACACGGCGTGAGCCGAGTTGGGGGACGTGATCTCGAAAGTCGGCACCTGCGTGGCCAGCGAGTAATGGAAGTCCACGGGAGAGAGGCGCGCGGGCGTGGTCAAGGCCGACACATACCTGCGGGGAGAGGCAGAAGCGTGGGTCAGGGGGTCGAGGGGGGAAGGGTTGGACTTCGTTCGATCCGGAGTAGCTTCTTGCCAAGGGATCCTGCCCACAAGAATGGTGGCGTCATGTAATTTCCTTAACCTCTTCCAGCCTGTTTTCTTATCAGTTAGCATCGTGTTGGGACGAATCCAGAAATCTGTCAGGCGGATGGCTTAGTCCAGAGTCTGACCCACGGTAAATCACAAATGGTCATTTGTTGTGGGGTGGTCACTGTAGCGGGTGGGCACAGGCTGGGGCGTTGTACAAGTACTATCTCATCTCATACCGTAATTTTGTAAGACCCTCCATGACGGCCATACTACACTCAGGAAACCAAGAGTCAGGACATTTAAGTACCATACTCAAGGCTCACATGGCCAGGCAGCGCCAGAACTGGGGTTTGAACCCAAGTCAGGCAGAGCCAGTAGGCATACTGCCCAATTCCGGAAGTCACTAGCCGCCATTTAGATACTCCTGTCACCTGTACTCACTGCCCATGCAAGGGATAGTCCATCCACGGCCTGATGGTTTAGTGAGGGAAACATTTCTTTTTATATTGAAGCCAAAAGCTGCCTCAGGGAAATTACTTACACTCCTTGCAGGATCCTCAGTTCAGGCTGACAGATACAAAGAGGCCACCAGGTAGCTCTGCTTGAAGGGGCTGCTGATCCTCAGCTCTATGAAAATCTTGCTCTTGCTAATATCTCCCAGTTTCAATCCTGGGTACCTATCCCTTTTTTCTCCACATCTCCCTTTGTAAACCCATCAGCCTTCTTCCCCACCATTGTACACCTTAGGACAGGGACCACCCACCATGCCTCTCTCTCAAACTGTGCAGCCAGACCAGGCACCTGACTGTTCTCTGGAATCAGCCCTAGTCCCTGCTACTGTTCTTTCTGACTCAGTTGACATCTCCCCTCCCTCTCCCACATGTGGATCTAATTAACAACCAAGCACTACTCATTCCGCTCTCCTAGAGCATATCCTCCAACCCCATTTTGGGTCACCTCTTCATCAGATCATGTACCACCTCCTTCACTCTGTGTAGTTCTCAGAGCATCTTGTAAAGTTGCAGAAGGCCCTCCTGCTTACCCATCCAGGTGCTACCTCCTGAGCCACTGGGCTCTTGTCCATCTGGGTGGTCCCAGTGCCACTGCTCCCCTCAGGTACCTCCCTGCTCCCCTCAGGTACCTCCCTGCTCCCAGCACCTCACTCACCAGTCATGCTCTTAAGTACCTCTGTTGGAACAGCTCCTGTGGTTCTGTGTGTCTGTGAGGCTTTCCTTCCCATCTCTCTGCCTCTTACCTTCCTACCACCCCTAAGGGGCCCTAGTGCCTAGACCCAGAGGTCTCCGTACATTTTCTCAGGTGGCCTTCAACAAAATCATGCATACTGGATATTCTCTCCAGTTCTACACTGAAGGGACAAGATTTGAGGTGAGCAACCTGCTTCAGATCACGTAGGTGGCAGAGTGGACTTGAAAAGGTTGGTCTTAGAAGAGCTGGCTGCCTCCAGAGCTGACAGTTACAATGGGTTTCTCTGCCCTGGGGTGGTGTCCTGTGTTTAGCACATTCCATAGGCTCCTTTGAGAGTCTGGTTTATCCCCAGACTGGGAACTCCTCAGGAGCTCTCTGGGCAGACCTGCCCAGGCCTGAGTGGAGAAGGAGGATGTCTGCTCCTTTCTCTTCCCACAGGCCTTCTTGCCAAGGGACCACTAGAGGGCTGAGCAAGGTGGGCCACCTGCTGCTGTGAATCCTGGCTTGGAGTCAGGGAACAAGGGGTTTCCTGGTTCTTACTGCATCCATTGCTCAGAACCCCACCAATGCCTTGACCTTAATGCTGGTGTTGCCAGGGCCTGAAGTCATTCAGATCAGTGTCCTCAAGGATGATCTCCCTAACTACCCTCCTTGGGTCTCTGTTCCTGCTGGGATGTGGGGCCTCTAGGTGTTACAGGTCTAGGGCATTCTGGTATCTTGCTTGTCTGGAGCAGCACTGTTTGTTCCTGATGTTTCAGTGAAATTTTAAATATCTCCTTCTATTCTGAGAAGTGTCCAAGTAAGATAGTTAAGTTAGGTGGTCCACCAGGACAGCTATAACCTCAAAATCCCAATCCCTTTCTAGGTCCTTGTTTGTCCACCTGGAAAATGGAGATAAGGCTCTAAGCAGTAACTCTGAGGTACTCTAAGAACCAGTCATGGGCCAGTGGTGTCAGCCCTTTGGCCAAGAAGGGGCCCAGGTCAAGGGGCAGGAACTGACCTCTCGCTATGTGGGGAGTCACGCAGGGAGTCTATGGAGTCATGGTAGGGTGGTGCGGTGGCCCTGCGCTGCTCCTCCAGGCTGTAGGCTGCTGCCCGCCGGGCCCGGGCCTCCACACATGCTGGGCTGTTGCACTTGCTGGTGCCCACTGATGACAGCATGATGCCCGACTGGGAGTCGGAGGTCAGGCTCTCAGAACGTTCCAGGCTCCATGTGTGGCTCTCATGTCTGGGAAAACCAGGTAGAGGTGAGGTGAGGGGAAAGGAAGTAACAAAGTGTGGTCCCATGGCCACACCTTCCCTGGTTCTTCATCCCATCTGCAGTTCCCTTAGCCCATTGCCTTCTCCACTCTGGGCTGATGTGGAGTATCACAAATGTCTAACCCCAATATTGGGAGGAGGCCTGGTGTCCAATGGATGGGTGAGCTGTGATAGGAAGAGGCCCCTTCCTTTCCTCTTGGCAACCACCCTCCCCCTAGGTTTGCCCCAGAGCCCCCATCTGGGATTGATTCTTCTACCTCTGTCATCCTTAGCTACCTCAGCTCAGCCCCAGGGGCCAATTTGTGGGAACCCTGACTATGTCATGGTGCTCCCCAGGGAAGGAGGGGCCAGCCATGTTCTCTGTCAAGCTGAATGAGCCTCTGTTTATGTGGCTAGCTGTGACAGTTCTGGAGAGAAGGCCAAGGTGGAATATGAATTGTGGCAAACTCAGGAGAGGTGTCATATAGCTCTGGTTGCTTGAATGAGATAAAGTACAGTAATCTACAAGGTTCTGTGGGCCTTGGTGCTGCCTACCTGTGGCTGGAGGTGGTGTGGCTGTGGAACAGTGGTGAGAAGGAGAACAGGAGTGGCTTCCAGAGAAGGTGGTCTCAGTTTCCCTCCGGATGACATGGTCTGTGGCTGGCACATTCTTGGAGATGTACTGGGACAGACAGAGAGGTGGAGGGAGTTAGTAATGGGGACCAGATAGGGACAGACAAGAGATGAGCATTGAGCTCTAGGCTGGCAGGGGGACACTGGGTCAGTGATAGGCCCAGCAAATTAGCTCCCACTCTTCCTGTGGAAGTGGGTAGAGAGAGGCCAGGTATCCTGATGAGGCAGTGCCTGGAAGGCAGGGTTGATTATAGGATGGGCTGGCTGCTGCCTTGGCCCATCTTTGCAGGGGACAAAGAAGAAGCCAGAAAAGCTGGAGGAGGCTGCTTGTCTATCAAGAGCTCAGAGTGGAGCCTGGGAACGCCACTCACATCTGCCATCTGGATTTCTTCAGGGTCCAGCCGGGGGTGGCTGGGCCCATTGGCTAAGCTCCGGTTCTGGTGGGCTGGGCACATGTTCTGCCGGAGGTGGTTGTGCATCTGTTTCCGCTGTTTCCTGCACAGGGGAAGGGTGGGTGAGCCTGATACATCCCCTTCCACTGCATGAACTTCCCAGCTGTCCCTCCAGGGCACTTGGGCAGGAACCCACGGTTTGCTAGCTGTGTGACCCTGGCAAGTTCCAGAAGTGCTGCATGTTTCACTTTCCCCATCTATAAAATGGGAGATCTCTTACCATCTCAAAGACTGTTGACCATTAAAAGCATATGAGTGACTCACGTAGTGCTGGCACCCTCCTCCCCTCATTCATTCATTCATTTGGTGTTTATGGAGTTTTTACTATGCGCCAGGTGCTGCTTTGAGGCTCATGGGGTTTGCAGGCCAGCAGGGGAGGCAGATTGATAAATACGTAAACATGTAAATGAATTAGAAACTTTCAGTAAAGTTTTATGAAGAAAATAAAATGGGGGTGCTCTGGTTAGGGAGCCATGGCCTGTGGGGTCGTGCACTCTACTGGCACATACTAAATGCTCAATAGCATTTATTGTTTTACAATAAATGATTCTAGTGTCTAATCATGTCACTCCCCGGTCTGCCCCATCTCTTGATACCCTTCCTCCACTGTATCCTTGGACAGCTCGTTTCTGATCTTCTATTGGGCCCCATGCCTCTAACCTCTGGGCCTAGCACATATTAGTTCATTGAATGTTTTCTCTGCCTCTTCATTTGCTTACTCCTTCTCCCCTCCCAGGCCCCTGTAAATGCTGCTTCCTTAGGAAAACCCTTGCTGCCCTCCAGCTGAAGGTAAGTGCCTCTTAAACTTGGTCTGTGACACTGCACAGCTTGATTGGAGTGCTGACCATGTGCCTGGTGTCCAGCACCAAATGAATGTTTGGTGAGGAAATGAGTAAATGTGGCGAGGGTCAGAACAGGTGACTTGCTTCCTCCCCAGTTGGCGGATTCAATTTTCTTGGGCCTAGTCTCCTCCTCTGGGCTCCGTGAGCCCCAAGCCCTCCTTAGTCCCTGCCAGACATTTTGTTCCTGGATTCATCCAAGATGGGGCCACCAGGGCTTGAGATCCCATTGATGGGGGATCCAGTGGGAGTCCAGACCCAGAGGCTCAGTCCTGAAATAATGCCTATGCCCAGACCCTTGGGCTTCAGATATGAATATTTTTCTGCACTATACCACTCTACAATTTTCATTGGCTCTCTATTGTTTGTAGGATAAACCCAGACCCCTAGCTTGGTGTCACGGCCCTGTGGTGGCACCTGGGTTCTAGCTATCTCTTTAGTCTCTTCCCTTACTCCAGTCCTTTGTGCCAACTAGTCTGAGCTGCCCCACTGCAAGCTGCAGCTGCCGGGTCTGCCTTTCAGCTTGTGCTCTTCTACCTGACCTGCCCAGTTCCTCAGGGTTCTGCCCTACCTGTCCTGTGTCTGAGATGGCCCATCCCCTTCTCTATGCTGTTACTTCGACTGCTCCGAGGGTGGGGTTGGGCAGTGCCTTTAAGGTGCCTCTTTCCTGGGAGTGTAGCTATCTTCTCTGTGCTTCCCTCTTCCTCCCCCAGCATTGCCCTAGTGCTTTATCCTGGACAAGGCACAGGCTCTAGGAGCCTGTGGGTTTGCTAGGTGCTCTCTCAGGCTCTCATAATGTCCTTTGAGGCTCACCCTAGACTCATTCCCATTAGGACTTAGTTCAGTTCTCTGGGGCAACCCTGCTCCCTAACTCTGTTTCTGAATCCAGTACCTTGGTGCCCAAACTGCAGAGGCCCCTGAAGGGGACCTTGCGGGGAGGAGGCTGTGGGGTCTGAGGCACAGTGGGATACAGAAGGAGAGCCTGTTCTCACAAAAACACCTTGGAGGCCACCCCCTGGCTTGGTTTGTCCCCAGCCTGAGGGCTTACACTCACTTGGTCTTGCAGTAAGCAACCACACAGACGATGCCCACAACCAGCAGAGCCACGCAGATGCCAGTGATGGTCAGGACCCTCTTTTGGTACAGCTCCTCTGCTTCTGTAGGGGCAGATTGTATGTGAGAGGTGGGGCAGGAGGAGAGCCTATGGGATGCTGGTGCAGACACCCCCTGTCCTCAAGCCTCAGCTCAAGTCCTGCCAGCCCCTTCCATTCTTTCCCTTTTGCCTGCTTCTCAACTACCTTCACTTCCCACCAATCCCACCCACCTATGGACCTGGCCACCCCTTCCCAAACCCCATGCCTGCTCAGAGCTCACAAGTAGAAAATGCAGGGGACAGACATGAGGGGATGGAGTGGAGGTGAAGCTCTCAAGGCCACAGACCAGAGAAGGGTAAAGCAAGCCCCCTGGCCAACACCCCTCCATATTCCATAGTGGCCTGGCAAAGAGAGATGTTCTTCACGGGAGTGAACATGTACACCCTGGCTCAACCACCTCAACTTCCCTGAGAAGAGTTGGTGACAGGACATCAGATGCAGACTTGGCAGGGATGTCAGGGCCAGGAGTAGGGACAGAGCAGACTGGGTCTAGGGAGGGGAGATAGGTCTTTGTCCATCCCTGTGGGCCAGTTAGGGTTGTGAGCTGGCCCACTGCACCCTCCAGTCTGTGCTGGGGAGAAGCCCACCAGTGGCATCACAGTTCTCTGGTATTTCGGGCTGTCCTTGTGTGAAAGGAACAGCTCCTACCCTTGCTGACAAGCTTTGAGGCTGGGCCTCCAAACCCACAAAAAGGCCTGACTCTTTTGTGTGCCTTCATGCTTGGTGGGGCCATCTCTGCCCCTCTAGAACAGAGACATCTGGGAAAAGAAAAGGAAAAGGTGATAGCACTGGCTACTGCCAAGGCCATGGTCCAGAGAGCCCACCCTGCCCACCTGCATCTGCTGGCTTGCTCTTCCACCTTGCCCCTCCTCTCCACTTAGTGATACATGGTGGCAGGACCTTCTCGCTTGGTGGAGCCCTGGGAAATGTCCCTGACTCCTTGGGCTTGTAACATGTCCTGTGTAGAGACATGTGCGCCAGCAATTCTAGGTCTGCAAACCCTCCAGACACTTGCACATCCTCAGAGTCCTAGACACACTCTTCACACAGATGCACTCATGCATGTAGACTGCACACACACAGCTAGTAATGGGCACCCCCACCTGGTATGCTGATTTATAGTCAGGTTGGGTCTCAACCAAGCCTTGGCTCCACATCCCCATCTGGACTCTGGACCACATCCCTGCCTCCAGGCCTCATTTCCTGTTCATTTCTCAATCCTCTCCACTACTCCTCAGAGATCATTCTGGTCTTGGTCACCAACAACCTCCACATTGCCAAGTCCTGTGGTCATCTGACTCCCTCCTCCTGGGGCCCACTGTCCTGGGCCCTGGACTGGTGATTCTTTCCTTGGCTTTCTCCTACTTCATGGGCTGATCTTTTTGTCTCATGGCTGCTTTCTTGTGTTCTACTTGGAATGGAAGGTAGAAAGGTCCAGGGCTCTCGGGTATCTTTGTTTCCTCTGCCAGTCCTTTCTCCTTTAGTGAGCTCATCCAGACAGACTTTAAACACCATCATTATTTCAATCTCCTGCTCTGATTGCCCACATCCAGGCCTCCAAGTGCAATGGCCAGACAGAATTACTGGGTCCCCAGCTCTTCCCACATCTGCTCCCCCATTCACCCCATCTCATTAGTGTAGCACCTCTTTTCTTATGGCTCAGCCCCCAAACCATGAACTTATTCTTCACCACTCCCTTTCTTCTACCTCCCCATCAGGGGAACAACCTGATCTACCACAAATCCTCTCAGCCCTGCCTTCCAAGTGGGTCTTTGATCTGACCATGATGACCATCTCCATGGCTTCCAGTATTGTCTAGGATGATGCTCCCTCCTACCTGGAGATGTCAGTCTCCCTGTCCCAACTGCCAGCTCCAGGCTCCACCAGCACCAGACGGAGCAGATCCCTGCTTAGAAACTCACAATGTCTTCCCACTACAATTCAAATAAAACCCAAGGCCATGGTCTCCAAGGTCCTCGATTACCTGGTTCTAGCCTTCCTTTTGGATGACTGGGGTGGTTCTTCCCCCATGTCTGTGCTGGTCAGAGTCACTGGCAGTGTCTCTGTTCATTGAACAAGGCAAGCTCACTCCAACTACACCATCTCTGTATTGACTGTGCTTCAGCACTACTCCTCAGTTCTTTTCAGGGGTGGTTATCAGATGTCCCCACATGGAACAAACCCTTCCCCAATCATGGTAGCACCCCACTGCTGCCAGGCACTATCACATAACTTCATTTTCTATGTAATGCTTGTCAACCATATTTTCTCTTTGTTGTTGTCTCATGGTGAATGCAAGTGCCAGGAGGGCAGGGATGCTGAGTGTGTGCTAGGTTCTGGTGTGAGGTAGATGTTTGCTGTGTAACTGAGTGAGTGCTTCCACACACACCCCTTTCAGACATAGACACACATCTGCACACACCTACATTCACTTCCACACTTAGAAGTTCCAACTACAAATGCTCAATGCTTGATACAAAGACATTTTGCTGCCCCTTTGTGCCCTCAGATCTTGCCTGGAGAAACCTAGCAAGATGTGCACATTCCCCACACTCAACAACATCCACACACACATACCTGCAGATTTACTCCTGTGTTCCCATAATCCCAGACCCCACACAACTTCCATTCCTCCTCCCCACTCTGGCACAGCCCAAAGACACAGACACTCTGACACACAGACTTGGAGCTCTATCTTCCACTGAGAATAGCTGATGGGGCAAGGCAGTGGAGGAGGTAGGGCTTCCCCAAGCCTGTCAGGAGACCTGATCTTTCAATATTTGCAAACTTGGAACCATGCCTGTGATCCTGCTCTCCATCTGAGGTTCTGCCCACAGAAGGCTCCACCCCCTGAGCACCGGCAGGTTGGCAATAATATACCTGGCACTTAAGGCCAGGGTAGAGCCTCCAGGTGCAAAGCCAGGTAGCTAGAAACGCTGACCCTTAAGGTCCCTTCCAGCCCAAGGAGTCTTCCTAGGGCCAAAGAGCACTTGCCATGGGTTGGGGAGGGGAGAGAGAAGCATATAAAATTCTGACCTGGGGGCAAGGGGCAGGCACCAGAGGCCAGCCCAAACCACACCCTTGCTGTCTTTCCTACACACACACACCACACACACACACACACACACACACACACACACACACGTCTTGCCATTGTGGGGACAGACCTTGGAGGGAGTGACAGCCGCAAGCAGATGGCAAAGCAGGGCAGACAGACACAAGGCAGGGACAGAGGTAAACAGGAAGTTATCAGCTACCAGCCTGGTGCAGAATGAAAAGTGATGGAAATGGACATGGGAGAAGGAAAGAGAATTAAAGTCAGATGGAAAGGGTTGCCTCTCTGCACAGCTCCCCAAAACGGGTTTCTGTGGTTCCCAGGCCACTGGGTGCACTGCCCAGGAGGGCTCCTCCTCTTTGAAGCCTCTTAGCAATAGGTTTCCCCATACAGCGGGGAGCACTAACTGTGTCCTGGGGGCAGAGTCTGAACTCTGGTGTACCTTGTGCATGAGCTTTTCTTTGCTCACAAATGAACATAGTTTATGCTAGCACATCTTGACAGGGCCAGGGGAGAGTTCTGGAATCATTCCCTTTCCATTTTTGGAAAGGAAACCAAACATTCAGCACTCCGAATGTCAGAGGCTGTGGAGAGGGGCCATGTGGATGGCTCAGAGTGATACATAGAGGTTCCATACCCTTTAATTCAAATCCAAGGTGCTCTGGCAGTGCAGAAGAGAGGATGGTGAGGGGGGTGGGGGCAGAAGGAGAGAGACAGATAGAGATGGGAGAGGGAAAGGAAGAGGGAAGGGGGGAGGGAGGGGGATTGAGAGAGAGAGAGAGAGAGAGAGAGAGAGAGAGAACGTTGGTCAGGACTCTTCAGACACTGGGCAGACAGCCTGTGAGGTGAAAGCAGGTTAGTAGTGTCCCCTCCCCACCTCCTGCACTCCTTCCCTGATACCCAGTCCCCAAGAGCCCCAAGAGGGCTAGAAAGAGGCAGTGTTAGAATCAGCAGGCAGGGCAGGTTCTTTAGAAGTGAGCAGTGGGGTTAGTACCTGGTGGGGAGGCACAGGCGCAAGAGTCAGGTGGCATATATTCCCTGTGAGGAAAGGGTAAGTGGGACAGGGTCCAAGGAGTGTCCCATCCCCTCCTCCTAGCTCCAGTCCCAATCTGTCAGCACTCTCAAGCCCTCCTGGAGACAGCCTGCCCAGCTCCTTTCTCACTCATGGGTGCCTTTCTCCTGTTCAGCAGGAGGGCGTCAGGTCCCCAGACTGACCCCATGTCCCTGCCCCACAGGCCTAGCCAGCCTGCCCATCACCTAAGAGGCTGAGAATGACACCTCAAAGGCAGGGGGAACAGTACTGGGGAGAGGATGAGGCTCCAGGCAGCAGGTCATTTCTTTACTTGAATTCCCACCCTGGGCTCAGGGGCTGGGCCATGGTGCTGGCTGGATCTCACTACTTAGAAGAGCAACTGCAAATTACATTCTTAGAACTGAGATGATGGTATGAATGTGTGATTTCAGGGCCCTGAAAGGTACACATCTATGACATTGAGAGGTTAGATAAAAAGGGCTCTGACCCAAGGGTCAGCTCTGCCATTGAACTGTGACCCTGAGTGATTCCTGACCTATCTAGATCTCAGTTTCTTAGCTATTAAGTGGGGATCAGGCCTGACCATGGGATCCTGGGAGGTGTGCAAACCTGGCAGCACTTCAGAATCATTCAGACGAATGGAATCAGGCTTTGGTGGAAGCCCAGAAACTTTAACAGCATTTTAAAAAAGCTCATCTCCCATTCTAAGGTGCAGCCAGCACTGGTATACAGGCCCAAGTACACCAGTGGCGACATAGCTTTGTCCCCAATTTGCTATGTGGTTGTGGTAAGACATAGTGTCTGTTCCCATCTGTCTAAAGCACACAGTCAGAACAGATGTAAGTAGGCCTGGCCAGCAGGAGGCTCAGTGCAATGGTCCTATTCCTGCCAGTTTGAATTTGCTCCTTTGCTTGCTTCCACAGCTCACTAGACCCAGGGAGGGCATGAAATAGCATGTGGTGTTCTCATCTGCTGCAGAGGAAGGGGAGCACGGGCAACCAGCAAGAAGTCCTGAGTATTATCCACCCCTGGAGCTCTCTCCATTCTGAAAGGGATTCCAGAGGGTTCCACATTTGGAAAAGGGCAAGAGATCAGGGTGGCTCTGACTCGCAACTAAGATGTGTCTGATCCCAAGACCCTTGAGGAAGATCCTGGGGCTTGGACTCCCCAGATCCCAGTCTTTCAAACAGGAGCTCTCTGTGTACTCCTGCTAACCCAACACTGGAGGTTGATCTCAAATTTTTGACTCTGTTTGGAGGTAGGAGAAAACTGCCCCAAGTATAGTCTGTCCACTCTCTCCAGGGCTGGCCTGCCATTCTAAGCAGATGTACAAACTAGACAAAGAGTCTCATGGCAGTTCCTTAAATAGTTCAGGAGCCTAGGGATACTTCAGGCACCTGGAGAGTTCTCACATTGCTTGGATGTCCATTCATGCCCCCCTAGGAAATAACAGACCACTTGATCTCAGCGCCCTGCTTACTAAGGGCTGGTCTGTGCCCCACTTTTGGATAAGGTGGTTGTATTATGTGAAGCAGCTGGGGCCCAGTGGTACCAGGACACTTTCCCAAGGTCACACAGGAAATCAGGAGGCAGAGGGAGACTGGAAGCCAAATCCCTGTTCTCTTGGGGGCTATTCCTGCTCATTGGACAGGTTTATCTGGATATTCCTAAGGACTCTGACCACCTGGAGAAGCAAGCAAGGCTCTCAAAGCCCTTTAAGAGTTTTCTTTTGTGTTACTCCTCTGAGAACCAAATCATAGCTGCAGCAGCTTCCAGGGCTCCTGATGACATGCTCTTTGAATTAAAGGCTAGTTCTGTTTAGGGTAGACCATTCGTGGCTGTCATGACTGGTGAGGTCACTGAGGGCTTGGCCAGTCACCAGGTAGACAGTTTTCTCCCTGGAAGGATGGGTGCAGATTCTGAGGGGCCTACGGCTTCATTTGTCTGAGTGAAGAAGTCTCATGTTTACTGCCTGCCATTCGGCCTCACTACTGAACCACAGGAAGGTCCTATTGGCCAGAAATTTGCATATTGACCAGTAATCATGGTAACTGGATGCTGGCTCTCAGTAGGTTCAGGTTTCCTGGGCAATATGCAAACTCTTCATCCTAGACATATCCCATCACACTGTTATAAGATGCCTGGATATGGGGGCAGTGATGTGCGTGTAGATGTAAGCACATGATCCTCTGTTTGCATGTGTGTGTGTGCTTGTGTTTGCTCCTATGTGCAGGGATGTAGGTATATGCTTGTATGTTTGTGCATGTGCACACGTGTATATACTCATTCAGATGTGTACTCATACAGATGGACAGACTTTGACTCTTGGAGGGCAAGGGCTGGAAGAAGAAGAAGCTTCAAAGTGCTGTTGGGCTGCACTATTTCCTTGGTCTCTGCAAAAGGCGCACTGAAGTGGTTTGGGCAGGCTGCCAGGGTCAGACCCTTTGCTCAGGAATGTTGGAAGGCTCCTCCCACCCTTCCTCATGTCAGTGGTAGCTGGAAGAGGTACTAAATCACACCCTAATGACAGTGGCCAGCTCTCTGATGAGCTCTTCATACGTGTCACTTCATTCTATCCTTTTAGCAACCCTACAGGCATAAATGTCACCATTCCCATTTTACAAACCCACATAGGTTAAATGAGGCCCCAAAGCTGGCATTTTTATCCCAGTCTCTTGGAACAGGCAATTGACCCTTCAGCAAGCATGGTAAGCTGCCTTTGCAGTTGTTCTCTGCTAGAGCAGCTCACGAAGGGGTCTCCAGGAGAGTTCAAGTCTTTTACAGAAAGGTAACAGAAATGGCATTGATGACACAGGTAGGAAGGCCCAGGGCTGCATTTCTAGGCTCTTTTTTTGGGCTCCAGAGACCCTGTTGACCCTCCTAGCAGATCTGAGCTAAAGTTGAGGCAGCCCAGCTGGCGGAGAGGACTTGGACAGGAGCCTGAGTCCCGGGGGCTCTGCTGGTCTGATTCAAGACCGGCTAGGACTGCCTGTCCAGAACAACTCCCCAAGCTGGGGAGGCTGTCAGCCAAGAGTGGAAAGGAACATGACCCTCACTGCCTCTCTCACCTGGTCCACACTTCATCCTGCCTGCTCTGCCCCCTCCTGCCCTGGAGTTCTCCACGCAGGCTGGATCCGACTTTGAAATCCTTCCAGAACCTACGTTCTAGAGGATCCTGCTCAAAGCCTGTGAGCAGATTTGTCTTTCTTCCTAGATGGTGCCTTGGATAGTCCTGGAGAGGGCGCTGCCTCCCATACTATGAAGATAGATGACCACTTGGTCCTACCAGCTCCCTCTGACTGCAGCCCTTACACTCTTATTGGGTTAGGGAAGGGAGTAAATTTCTGGGCTTCTGCGCTGTGGTCTGAGGAGGATTGGGAAGGTTCATTTCACTATGCTGAGACCCAAGTTCCAAAACCTCCTTTCTCTATGAGCTACTTAAGTGGTCCCCTGGGTCCTACCTTTGGCATCTTCCAGAGTTCTACCTCCCAACTTAGAGGTACCATCTGGATGCTCTGGCTCCTAACTCCTCAGGGGATCCAGGTGTCCTCCCTGGAGAGGAGTGGGGTGGGGACAGGGGTCTAGTTTGCTTTGCAGGATAGGATGGTTTAGGCCTTGCCAACAGAACGCTAGGCCCCAAACCAAGTTTGTGGTCAGCCAGTGACTGGTGTTTAAGGGCACTGCTCCTAGATTCTAACACTCTTAGGGTGCATCCTTAGGCCAAAGGGCTCACTTTTTCCTTCAAACTGTGTGAACTACAGATTCCTGATACCAAAAGTTGAAGAGAGGAAATGAATTAAATCCTAGATGGGAATTAACACCAGAGAGATCCTGGGGACAGTCACCAATTATCTCTTGATTTCTTATCCCCTCTATCTTTTAGCATCTGCAGAAACCCCCAGTCCACTCCATCTTTTAGCCACACAAATGTCTCTGGCATCCATGGAAACCATTGCCTTGAGTCCTGCTCTCCCTCAATTTCTACTCCTATCTGCCCTGGTCCCCAAGCCCAAACCAAACACATTCTGGCCTAGTCAAAAGACAGGCTTCTGAGACCTTTTCTTTTCTCAAAAACACATCAGCACATACCAGCACAAGCTCACTGCCAGGCCCATCAGCAGCCTGACCCTCTCAAACAGCTTTCAGAGGAAGGAGAGAGTTCTGCAAATGCCTCTTCCTATTCTTGCAGGCTGCCTGACCCCAGAAGTGGGGAGAGGCCTGAGTGTGTCCCCACTGCTGTAGAGAGAATTCAGCACTACTGTGCTAATATATTGGGGAACAGGGGGTGTACTGGTCTCCTCTGCACAGGTTTCTGATGAGCACTGAGGACTGAGAGGAGCTTGGGATGCCTCCACTTCCTTCCCCCCAACCCCCAACCAGGTGTTGATAAGTAAGGCCCCATCCCTCCCACAGGGGGAGACTGCCAGTCACCAGGGAAGAGAAGAAATAGAAGAAAGAGACATACTGGAGAAGTTGACCATTGCGAACTGCTGACACCTGTCCCCGGTGTATCCCACAGGACACCTACCAAAAGAAAGAAAACCAGAAAGAGAGAGCCAGGATAGCAAGACACAGGCATTGCAACACCCCGGCACAGGCTCCTGCCAGCGCCAGCTGGGTTCCTTGCCACCGTTACCATTTGTACTGGCCTTGCCACTCTGCCCCTTACCTGTAGCCCTGAGGTTTAAACCCAAGGATTAGGCCAAAAATGAAAAACAAAGCAAAACAAAACAAAACAAAAGAACTAACAAACCAAAATACAAAAAAGAAAAGAGAAACAAAACAAAACAGCCAAAGATCAAAACAACCAACACCCCTGGTCCTACGCCCTACATTGGGGGGACTGCACCCGGAAGCTTTCTAAGGAGCAGGGACTTGTGTTTGTATCTTCAAACATACTTTGCTTAGGATCTGGCATGTACAATCGCAAAGGCAGTTTCTCCAAACATCTCTGTCCGAAGAATCCGTTTGGACATCTGGAGAAGGAAAAGGGGAAAAATCACAGAACAAACTGGCATCATCCACGAGGCTAAGGTTAGAAATCAAAGTGCACAGTGATGAATGAGAAAAACCAAGTCAGGCACTTGGGGTCACACTTGTAGCTGAAGGGGCTGCAGTCGGGGCTGGGTGGAGGGCTCTGAAATCTCCTTACAAATCTCTAACAGATGTGGCTCCATGGGTGGTGGGGGCAGGTGGGGTGGGGCAGGAAGGCAGATGATTTGGGAAGTTGGGTGGGGAAAGATGGGAGGTTGTTGACTAATTGTTCTACTGGTTTGGAGCTTTCCTTCTTACCTGCCTGGTGCCCCATGAAGCCAGAACTGTAGCCCCTTGGTGCCAGGCAGTCAGCCTTAAGGGAATCCCAAGTGCTTGGGAGTCACTCCTGGGCCCTGGGAAGGTTTTCTTCTCCATGACAGCCCTCAGAAAGCTCAAAGCAGAGCTCTGTCAGGCTGTTCTCAGACTGTGTGTCCCTAACAAAAGTGAGCTAGGAAGTGTTTGATTTGTTCTTTTAAAGAAGGTTCTGTGGCCAAATAAGTTTAGGAAATCCTTTCCCAGGGTTCTTACAGAGTTGCAGTCTACTTAGCATAGGAAGGGTTATGAAAAGTTTTACAGGAGGAAATAGCTGAACTTTCTGGTATGTCCCAAACTTATTTGACCATGGAAGGCATTTCTTAGGAAACCTTTATAGAACACAGTTTTGGGGAGGTTGCCCTAGAGCAATAGGTGTGGGAAAAGCTTAGTAAGTAAAGGGGAAGCTGAAAGGAGGTGGATTACCAGCATCCCCAAAGTTTCCTTCCTGATGCCAGGTGTAGGGGGAGGTTGGAGCAGACTTGCTGGTGGCCCCTGGAAGCCTGTTTTACATCAGGGGCCTGCTGGTAGCCAGCCTTGGCATGCCTGCCCTTTCCCCATGACCTGCTCTTCCATTATGGCCTGGCTCTGCCCCGCATCTCATTCTTCCATCTTCCCTTCCCTGCAGCTCCAAGGCACCACCCACTCCCTTCTCCCTGACCTTGTCCTTACCCCCAAGGTACACTTCCTTCTGTTCTCTGGCTGCCACCTCTCCCCATAAGCAAACCTGTCTTGCAGATTTCTGGGAGACATGCCCAGCCCTGTACTCTCTTCTGAACCCCAGCAAGGCCTGTTACTTAAGGAGAAGCTGGAGGGGACCAGGGCTGGACTGACCCCTTTCCCACATTTCCCTCCTAGAGATGGATCTATGTTGCCTTGGCCAGTTCTTCCTTAGGAAGTTAGGCAAGCTCATCATAGTGTGCTCTCAACAATAGGCAGTAGTTCAACATTAATCAACATATATTTCTTCAGGAGGTAAGCATTTGCTACCTCTTGGCCTTCTAGTATATTCAACCATCAGTAAACTCCTTGGGCTTAGGTAGGTGGGGGCTATTGGCTGTGATAGATCCTCATGAAACCCACCGCCTCAAATCTAGAGGAGTGGGGAATGGGAATGATTGGTGGGTAGAGAGCTGGACTTTCTCTGGCTCTGATGACATCTCAGGGGGGGAAGGAGGCTGGAATTGCAGTGGTGGGAGTGTGTGTGCACAGGTGACCTGGCCAGTGATGGGTGGTAGAGGGCTGGGAAGTATATCAGTAAAGTGGTGTGGGTAGGTAACAGGGATGCATGCTCATCCTGCTGAACAGGAGGAGGAAGTCCCTTATCAAGCCTTCCTTCTCTGATCCCTGGCCCTTGTCCCTAATCCTCTCAGCCCCAAAAGATGGAGGTGGCTAAGTTTTCCCAACACCTCCAGCCAGGCTCAGCTGTTCTTCCTTAGCTTATGGACACTGATGTGGGGGATGGAGACTAGAGAGGGAGAAGTGAGTTTTGAAACAAATGCACCTTTGGTGGGAAGCTGAAAAAAGACCCAGGAAGTTGCCAAAATGACTCTTGGACTCCACAAAGGAATAAGAAAGAGAGGTTTGATTATGTTCAATGTCTGAGATTAGCCCAGTTCTTGGAGTCAGGGAAACCATTATAATACATATACATATACATACATATATATGCATGAATGTTTGTGTATATGTGTGTGTGTAAGACAGAGAACGTGTGTGTGTGTGTGTGTGTGTGTGTGTGTGTGTGTGTTTGTGCAGGGGCAGGAGGGGACAAAAGGGAAATTTGCTCCCATTGCTGACAAGCAGGGCTGCTGTCCCATGACTTTTGTAGACCAATGACAACTAAAAACATCCCTGCGTCCCCAATTCCACACCCAGCCTGGACAACCCTGACTGCATACTCAGATTTGCCATGGATACTGAGTTGCACAACTCCAGGTGGTACCATTGAGGCTGGGGCTTCCCTAGGAAAAGCTCTGGGCATGGTTTGGACCTACAGCTTCTCTTTCTAACCAGCCTGCAAGACCAGGTAGCAGAATCCAGGACTTATCCACCTATCAGTAGGACTGGAGTCTGCACTGGTGTGAGTAGCTGGCTTGTGACTGGCAGGTCCCACTCAAACAGGGATCGACCCTCTGAGGTTCAGGGGCATAGGGAATGGGTCAGGAGGAGCAGCAGGTAACAGCCTTCCCAGCCCTTCCTGAAGTCATCAGCTCTGACTCTGGGAAGGGCTGTACCTGGGGCTGGAGAAGAGCAGGGGTGAGAGAGGGGCATAGAGGAGAGCCCATGGGCTATATCTGGGTTGACAGAGAGATTAGGAGCTCTGCTGTCCCCTTTCCCCACCTGCTTCCTGGGCCTCAGTTTCTCCTTTTGATAGCCTGGGGATAATGCCATGTGTGCTGCCCTCACCCAGGGGAGGAAGGATGGAGAATGAGGGTGTGTCTCAGACACCTGAGGGAGCCAGGGTCTCGTTCATGAGGGGAGGTGGAGATGTGGCGAGGATGAGCAGGCAGATGGGATGGGATGGGGAGTCGCCTGAAAATGGGTGGGCTGGGGAAGCAGAGAGATGGGGGATGAGCTGATGGGAGAGGGAGGCATGCCACTGGTATGTGCACAGGGCTGGAAAGAGTCTTGTTCTGTCATCATCCCCTGAACCAGTCCCCAAGAGTCACGCACCAACCGTGTTCAACAAACACACGGAGAGAAGAGGAAAAAGCAACAAGAGGAAGTGTGGAGGCCCCTGTCTGCCCAGACAGGAGACAATCACGTTGATTTGGACCCCCATTTTCAAGTCCCCTTAAGTTTTCTTTTTTAAAACAATATTTAGTATCAGTGACACTATTTCTTTTGGCACTGAATTCCAGAAAAACAAGAGGATTACGGAGTGTGCCTGCTTTCCAACACTCCCTGCAGGGCTCTGAACCAATACACAACAAGTGTAAGAAAACCAGGAAGGAAAACTGATTTTTATAGAAACTGGAATGAAACTGACCAGTGTAGTTTCATTATCCAAGCTAAGCGGAAATGCAAAAAAATCAAAATAAAAAGTAAACAAACAGCACAAATGGTAAGACGTGAGTTCCGTTTCCTAAGTTCTTTCCTTTTTATTCCATTCAGGTGTCATCATAAACCCCAAGAGGCCTGCCCCCCTTTCCCTCCCAGCTCACCCGCCCCCAGAATGGCCTCTGGACTCTGCCCGGCCCCCTCCCCCCTGCCCTTCTCCAGCACAGCTCCAAGGACCACAGTCCCCAACAGGGATGTCCCTCTCCCTGCTGGCTGACAGAGGGAGCCAGGGAACAGGGTTTTAGGAGCCCTGACTCAGGCAGACTGGGGGAGTGGGGCAGAGATGGGGAGGTAGTGGCTCTGGGTACCAAGTTTACATTCTAAGCAGTAAAACCCAGTTGCCCTGGTGTGGGGGGAGGGGAAACAGGACACAAGGGCTCATGCTCCTCTCTTTGTCCTCAGATTCAGCAAGGCAGGCTCCCAGCTCTAGGGACATAGCCATTCTGGCAGGTTCCTCTGGCAGCCCATGTATCTCATCCCTCCCTTCCCCATACTGAACCCTAGCACTGGAGCCCAGGCTCTGGAGACCCTCCTCAGTCCTCGTCTTCAGCCTGTCCTGGGGGGCCGAGCCTTCCCTGTCAGGTGCAAGGGTTGATTTCAGTGACAATGCTGGATCCTTTTGAGGGTCAGGGGTCTGAGGGGCTAAGGAAGAGGAGAGGCCTTTCCTTTTGTCAAGGACAAGGAAAGGGGAATGCAGGGCTGGGCACTCCCTGTGAGGCAATCCAAGATTCTTAAGGGTTTCTAGTAGGTCTGTTCAAAAGAGCTCAGAGCATTTTCAAGGCTAGAATGTTTCCCAGGGTCTGTAACATTGATGTGGTCGCCTCTGAGAGGCAGAAGCAGGAAAGGATGAGGGTGGAGGACAGGCCCAGAACTTCTCTGGAAGACCTGTTGTTGTTCTTGGGACTGTTCTCTGAGGTTCTGGAGGGGAGGAGGGCAGGGAGGGGGTGGCAGCAGGTGAAGGGTGGGACCAGAGAGGAAGCCAGCAAGGAGGCCAGCTGGGGTCCTGCCTGGCAGTGCAGCCAAGCTACTCTGCTCTGTGGGTGAATGTGAAGAGGCACAGGTCCTGTGACCTTATTGCTAGTTAGAGGGATCTTTAAAAGTCCTGGCCTCTTTGCCAGGCCCACATTTCTAAAAAAGACTGAAGCCAGGGATGGGGGTACAGATGTGGCCTGGGGAGCCAGACGCAGGAAAGCCAGAAGTGCAAGTCTGACCTTGTCTGTGGGGAGGTCAAATCCCTCTCTCTGAATCACCATCAATATTTTGGTGGCCTTTGCCCAGATGCCACGGGAATGGGGCAGCTTTGGCACCTTGCTGGGGCCTTAGGCTTGGGCTGCTTTGAGAAACCTGAGTTGTTCACTAGACCCCTTTCCTATTCCTCCCCATGATCTGGACAGAGCCTGTGCTGTCTCACTAAGCTCCTGTCACCCTCTTCACATACCCACCAGAAAAACTGTCCTAGGGGGCTTTGGAACCCAGTCATCCAGAAGATCCAGCTGGGCCCTAACATGCCCTCCCAACTTGCTTCTCTCCTAACCTGCCCTATTTGCTACAGGTTGCTAATGGTTCTGAGCTCCTTGGTGTTCTTCCTAGGGACACCCTGGGCTACACTCAGAGTGGTACCCTTACTGGTGTCCCCTCATGCCGAGGGACTAGAGGCTAAAGGGGCTCAGTAAGTACCTAGGGCATTCCTGGACACTGGGGTCCTGCAGGGCAGGGAGAGCAGCCAGATTTGAGGTCAGCACTGGGTTCTGGGCAGGCCCCTCTTGTCCACTCTAGACTTTATGAGTAGGACCTTCAGGTGCCAAGGCCTCTGGAGCCTGTGCCCTACCTGACCCTTCCAGGTCCCTCACTGTTGGGGAAGATGTAGCTGGGATATGTTCACCCAGAGTAAATATGGAGAGTTGCTGAGAGATGGGGAAGAAGGAGGGAGAGAGGGAAGGAGAAAGAGAGGGGAAGAGAGGGAGGGAGGGAGAGAGAGACAGAGAGAGAGAGAGAGAGAGAGAGAGAGAGAGAGAGAGACAGAGAGAGAAAGAGCCCAGTGCCTCAGTCTGGCATCCCCATGTCCATAAAGGGTGTTGGAGAGAGGTAGACATCAGGAGATGGGTGGTAGGAACCTAGGAAACTGGGACTGCAGAAGTTCTTTAGAGTTTATACCTCCTTACATTCCAGAAAGACTAGGAAGCAGGTCAACCTCCCTGTCTACAACGCTTGGGGACCCTTTCCAGTGGCTAGAAGCCCACTTTCCCTAGAGCCCTCCACTTCTGCCCCAGCATCTCCTGCCCTACTACTGGCCCTGTACGCACCCCCACTGGTCACTTACTTGCAGGAGAGCTGGTTGATGCCCTCGATGTAGTAGCACACGCCTCCATTGACACAATAGGACTTGGCTGTCTCGTTGCACTTCCGGGCGTGCCCCGACCAGGAGGACAGGGTGGTGCTCACTGGAGGTATGAGAGACATGTTCTAGTGACCCACTGAGATCATGTCTGGGCCCCAGGAATCACCTCCTTCATGGCCCTTCATGTTCTGTCTCAAAACTGGAAGATCCCCAGAGCCTACAGGAATTGCCTAGGGAGGGAAGGTCTGTGGGTCCCTCCTGGTTGGCAATAAGGCAAATGGGAAGCCATCACCAGTTCTGACCATTTGTCCACACTCTAGGCAACCTCTAAAGACTAGGGAGGTTTTCAGATGTTTTGGAGATGGTGAGAAGGTAGCTCTGCTGAAGTAAGGACCACCTCTATCCTGCCCCTCCTGTCCCTGTGGACCCTGAAGGTCCACCGCAGTGTGAGGAATGGTGTGGGGAGAAGCCTATCTGAACTGTTTGGGTTCTCATGGTGGATTGGGGGTGGCTGGAAGGAAGCAGGGACTTGAGAGGAATGGCTCCTTTTGGACATTGTCATTTTCTAAGATCTGTGGAGGAGCCCCAGCTTCCACTCTCTTCTCTCTTTCTCTTGGGCTGGGCTGGAATGTTGTCAAGGCCATTACGCTTTCTCTCCAAAAGCATCCAGGGTCTCCTCCACATCCTCCCATGCCACTCAGCCCCTTCCTCCCTCACCTTGTTAGCTGTTGCCTCTCGAGGGAGCCTCTAGCCTTGAACAGTCCAGGCTATAAATCATGACTTCAGGTTGGAGGGGAGGAGATGAGGCTGGGGACAGGGACACAGGGTGTGTGTGTGTTGGGGGGCAGGGTGGGTGCTCAGGCTGCTAATGCAGACTGCACATCCAATTAATCAGAGTCATTTGAAAAATGAAAATAACGAAAAGCCCTGTTCCCCCATCACAGGAAGGCATCTAGGAAGCTGGTGTCCAGTGATAATTCTTGCACGGAATGTCAGTTTTCATCTGTAAGATAATGCCCTTGGCGGTATATCCAGTTTGAGCCACAGCAAAGGAGTCCATACTCCTCCCCTCAGCTCTCTGAGGCGCTGAGTGCCTCCCACTCAGACTGAGGGGGCCCATCCCACGTTGGCTGGTCCTATCTCCTCAGGGTGTGAGTCTCTAAGGCTCCCCTCAGTAATGGGGAGGAGGTGAGAGGAGGAGGAAGAAGCAGGGCAGACACTTGGTGCCCTCAGTGTTTAGACATGTGAGGAGACAGATGGAGCGCAGAGGACTGGGATTGTACACACAGCTCTGCCTCTGTATATGTCTGAGGGGCTTGCTGATAAAACCCAGCGGGCAGGGCCAGCTCCCAGCCTCCCCTGCAGCCCATGCCTGCTGCTGAGCTGGCATATGGAGCCCCACCCCTGCCGAGGGCTCCTTCAAGGCTCCACTGCAAACCCAGCTGGGCCCCACATGCTGGCCCATGGAGAGGAAACTGCATGCTGATGTCTGCCCCTCTTCTGGGTCAGTGAGACCCAGGAAACTAAGAAAGGGACAAAGAAAAGAAACAAGTGAGGTGACCATGCCTGCAAGTTATTAAGTCCTGTCACTGGGTGGATCCTAGAGGTTGCCCTGCCCTTCAGTTACATCGTGAAGGAGGAGTGAGGAAAGAGAATGGCTAAGTGCCTGTCTAGTGTCAGAGTGTGTATTGTGACAAGGTTTTGGGGCTCCTGATCCCTGGTTGTGCATTCTTCCCAGCTACTCATTCCCTTGTGAAAGGACACATCAGCACCCAGGCTTGACATGAACAGAAGAAGACAAACACAACAAAGACCCCAGCCTGGGGCCTCCTATAGGCCTGGGCTAAGCCAGAGAAATCTCAGCCTAGACTTGTCAGGCTGAGACAAGCATTACTCTTTGCCATCAGGGTGATGTATACTGTCCACCACTGTGTCCTCATTGTTATTCCACCCAAGCTGAGTGGGCAGCAGTGAGGATGTTGGGGTGACAGGGACCACAGATGCATACTTGAGCTTGTCACACAATCTGTGCCTATTGAATCCTTGGGAGGTAGAGGACAAATGAAGAAAGATGGAGCTCCCCTCTGCCCCCCGACTGCTGTGTTAGAACTAGCATGAGCTGCCAATACTATATCATCATGAGGACGAGGCCTGGGCCCAAGAAAGGCAAAAAAAGGAGGATGGTGGGGGAACTAATCATAGAAGGTGTAGGGGACAGTAGCCACAGGCCTTCCCACCTCAGAAAGGACAGTGCTCTATACCATGGTAGGGCCTTCCCAAGTCACTGTGCCCCAGCTTGGCTGGTGGTGTAGCCCACACTGCAGGGAGATTTCCATATGCACAGGGGTGTTCACACCACCACACTAGCCTGGCATATGTGGGTCCCAAGGAAACATGTCTACACTACCTTATCAGCATGCCTATATTTCTTCACTGTGTCCCCATGTTTGGAGAAGTCGGGTGACATATGGATTCTAAGTGGAAGGGTCTGATTACTCCCTTGAACATTCCAATGTGGATGGCTCACACCCGAACTCAACATGTCCAAAACCAGGCTCCCAGTCATCTGCACCAACCACTGTCTTCTCCAGTTTTTCTTATGTTGGTAACCAAATGGCACTCACCAGGGCTCAAAGTCCTGGAGGGCATCTTTCATTTCTCCTTTATTCCCTACCACTATCTATTCCCAAGGGTTTCTACTTTCTCAAGAAGCTCCATCTTTATTTTCTACTTCCTCCTTCAGTCCAGGGCACAGTCTTCTCTTCCTTGACTGACCACAGTAGCCTCCACACTGATCTATCTTGCCTTCACTCTGACCTTTTGGCTTAGAGGCTGGCACAATGGTCTTTAAAATATGTAAACTGGGTCAATCCTTTCCATGATCAATGTTCTCCAAGGCTTCCCTGTACACTCAGAAGAAAGTCCCCAACTCCTCCCTAGGTCTGATCTGATTATCTCCTGTCCCTCTCTTTCATTATGTTCTGACCACACTGGTCTCAGACTGAGTTTTCTAACAAGCTAGGAGTTCTCCTTCCCAGAGGGCCCTGGAGAGGTTTCACCTCTCTAGCTGGTCAAACTATTCCCTTATTCTTTTTCATTTTATATGCTTTTGCTTGTAGCACTTATTCTAACATAATTAAATGACTGAGCATGCCATTATTAGCTCCTCCACTGGAACATAAGTGCCCTTAGGGCAGGAACCACATTTGTCATGTTTTTATTGAACACCAATGTCTAGCGGAGTGCCTGGTACATAATAGGTGCTTAACAAATATTTACAGAAGGAATGAATGAGCAAATAAATATCTGATTCTTTAGAGAAAAATATCATCTGCTACCATCCCAGGGACTAGTCTAGAGTCCTTAGTTGACGGTGATATTTTTTCTATAGGAGTAAAGCATTGTCTCTAATTACATGCAAATATTCCTGGGAAGTCATTAGGGACATGAAATCAAAACCACAATGAGAGATCACTTCATATCTACTAGGATGACTAGAATAAAAATAATGGATAATAACAAGTGTTGGTGAGCCTTGTGCATTGCTGATGGGAATATAAAATGGTATAGCTGCTTTGGAAAATAGTCTGGTAGTTTTCTTTTTAAAAAACATAGAACTACCATGTTTCCACTTCTATGTATATCCTTAAGAAAATGAAAACCTATGTGCATACAAAAACTTATACACCAATGTCAACAGCAGCATTGTTCATAATGGCCAAATGTGTAAATGATCCAAATGACCCAATAATTCAAAAAAATGAATGGTTGAACAAAATGTAGTACATTCATACAGTGGAATTTATTTAGTCATAAAGGAATGAAGTACTCATACTGCTGCAATATGGATGAACCTTAAAACATATTAAGTAGAAGAACGCAGCTACAAAAGACCACATGTTGTATGACTGTATTTATGTGAAATGTCTATTATAAGTAAATCTACAAGGGTAGAAAGTAGATCAGTGGTTGTCAGGGGCTGGAGAGAGGGAAGAATAGGGAGTAACTGCTAATGTGTGTGGGGTTTCTTTTTGAGGTGATGAATATATTCTTGAATTAGTGGTGATGGTTACCTAACTGGGTGACTATACTAAAAATCACTGAATCATACTTTAAAAGGGTGAATTTTATGATTTGTAAATTATATCTAAAAAACTAATTACAAATATGCTTGGGAGGGGCATATTTGCCCCTGGTGAAGTGGCTATCAGTCATTAGTGTCTCAGTGAGTGAGGTGATCAGAGCCCTTGAAGAGTAAGAATGGAGCAGGCAGAGAACTGAGGGCAGTGCTTTGGAGCTTTTGTGTCTGCTGCCTGCTGTTGCAGCTGCTTACTCATGGGCAGAACCTCTGCTTCTCCTTCAAGGCCCAGATCCACTGTTTCCTGGTCCTTCGTGGCACCTCCTTGCCTGTGCCTAGCCCCTTTCCCTTTGGTACATTTGCCTGTCCTTCTTCCTTTGTCTATTAGGAAAGGCAGACACTTTCAGGACCAGGTTTTAGCTTCCTGGCATTTGAGGGACTTTTTGGGGGCCAAGACTGTGACTTTCCAGAGCTCAGCTGAATAAGGCTTGCGGAATGTGGGAGTGTGTATATGGATGTGTTCGAACAACTAGCCTTTTAAAGCACCAGCAAGGAGACAGGCCTGGAAGTCTCTCTGGGGCTTCCATGGTCCTGTGACAATGCTGGGCAAACCTGCTTGCCCTCTGCCAGGTACCTGGGACATCTCCGAGTTGCCTCATACCAGAGCCAGACAGCTGGTTTCTCTAATGCAGAAGTGGGTTGTAACCAAGTTGACTGTTTTGTTACAAGCTCCACAAACTTCTGCTTGCTCTTCCCTCCTCCCAGTTGGCGCAGGGAGGCCAGAAGCCTCCTGTGAGCTGCAGAGTGGTAACTGCCAGGAGGACCTGTTCTGATGTGGGGAAGGAGCACTGGGTTCCACCCAAGTGGAGCCTGGCGATGCCCCTTCAACAGCCCGCTGCTCCTTGATGCCCTACCCCCATGGCCCTGGTTCCCCTGGGGCCTGGGCGGGCCATACCAACCCACCTCGGGATGAGTCAGAGGGGGCAGGCCCAGCTGCCCGCTGCCCGCCCTCCGCCCCCTCCTCAGGGTGTGGTTGCTGCAGGTCTCCTGGGTTCTGCAAGTAAACAAGGAGCCCAGGCATCTCTGCCTGAGAAAACGTCCCCAGAACGGGCTTCCTGGTCCCCCGTAGTGGCCCCGTCCACCTCCTCACAATAAGACTAGACTCTTGTCTATCGTGAGCACAGGGCAGCAGGAGAGGTGGGCACTGTATGTGTGCATGTATGTTCCTATTGGTGAGGTGCACAGGATGGCAGCCTCAACATCAATCTCAGAATTCCAGAATTTTAGGGAGAAGGAGCTTAAGATCATAGCTCAGCCCATGAGGGAAACCCAAAGGTTAGGAGGTGGATTAAGGTGTTCAGAATTGCATGACATAGAGCTAGGATTAGACTAAATTTCTGAACTCTTTCTACTGACTTGCAAGCTGCTATCCTGCCAGGTTGAGGGGACAAGAGACAGGGAGCCCTGTAGGGAGACAGGATTCCAGATCTGTCCTCAGTGCCCGTTCCAAAGGCTCCACTGTCCAGCTCCCAAGCTGAACACAGCCCGGCTTGCTGCAGGCTGAGGGAGCCAGGCATGGGGTAGGATTACAGTTTATTTGAGGGGTCACAGTCCCCATTCCCTGTGTAGCAGAGAGCTGTGGTGTTCTGTGTGGTTGTCCTTCTCTCTTTCATTGCTAGTGGAGCCCTCCAGGGAATTTTCTCCATATAGTTTCAGCAGGCTATGGGCTCAAGGCGCTCTGCCTCCCAGGAGCCCCTCTGCACACAGACAGGCAGGCAAAGATGGCCCCCCACCCTCCTGAGCATAGTCACAGGGCCAAGTGAGCATATGACCCCAGTAGGGTCAGTCACAATAAATTTTCATGATTGGATGGATGGGCACAGAGCAGAGGTGGGTGGGCTGGGGTGAAATAAGCCTGGACCTGTCTGAGGCCATGACCACCTCTTCTCGCTCCATTCCTCCCAATGTGGGAGAAGCTACTTCACAGTATGAAAGAATAAGATCAGCATATGTTGGGAGAAAATGTCCTGATCCATCCTCTCAGTTCTTGAATGTCTGGAGCCACCTTCATCCCTAGACCTCCTGGTTTTCTAAGCCAATAAATGAATTCCTTAAGGTAGGGTTAAGTGGAATTCTTGTCAGTTTTAACCAAGAAAGACTGTCTAAAAACAGGAAACCTAAAATCCAGGGTGAATCAGAGTGTCTTCTCATGATGACAGAGGTGACAGGTGCTAGACCCTAGGCATGTTCTACTTTCCTAGCCTCGGGACAGGTTGAGAGCAGCAAGGATCCAGGTACGCCCTCTGTACCATGCCCAGGCTGAGATGTTGAGGGGGCAGTAAAAGTCTTGGAGCAGGTTACAAGTTCTTTACTATAACATTTACCAGGTCCTACTGTGTGTACCAGGCACTGAGTAAGCCTTGAGGCCGCAGTAGTGAACAGGACACATTCCATGGAGCTCCATGGCTGTTCGCTAATGACTTTTACACTATACAGCTCTATCTTTAGCTAATTGTTTGACTTTGGGAAAAATACTTAACCTCTTTGAGCCACTCATAGTCTACAAAATACATCCTGAGTCTGAGTAAGGGTTCATGAGCTAATGTGGACCCTGGGTCAGCAAATAACAGCTATGATCATAACTTCCAGGGAGAGAGACAGCGTCCCTGTCCTCCCCACTTCTGAGACCTCACCCTCCACTGGAGTGGTCATCTCCACAAAGACACAGTATAGGAGTTGAAGAATGACTCAAGTCTAGAATTCAAGAGACGCCACCAGACCGTAGTGGGTCAAGAAATATCCTAGGACTGAGATCCAAACTGGACATGACCCTGCAGTGGGCTGGGTGGTCAAGGAGGAAGGCTGCCTGGGAGAGATGGCAAGGGAGAAAGAATAAAGATGGAGTATAAAGGAGAATGAGTGTAGTTAGGATTGGATAGGTCATTTGGCCCAGATTGATGAAGAACTCCTTGGTCTATGACTCCACGTTGTGGGTTGAATGAATGGGTTTTCAAAGGCCATTGCTTTGACGTAGGTGAGTAGGCATGAAACCTGAGCCAGGGTTGCCCTTGTGTTGGGGTTGAAATGGAAGGGATAGGTGTAAGAAAGTTCCAGAAAGAAGACTGCCCAGAACATGGAGACTCAGACTTCTTGGACACAGTGGCAAAGGAGTCCTAGGAGCCCATGACGCTAGGGAGACAGAGATGTCCTTCCCCAGGGCAGGGCAGAGAGGGTCTGGGTTGGCTTTTCACCTGAGGGTCATGAGGCAGGTGTGTTACAGTTTCTCTTTTAGATAGTGCTGGCTTGGAGTACGACCAGGCTGTTTGGCGGACATATAGGTAGGCCATGACAAACAGAGGATTAGATTCTGTGTTGGGGGCAGGGCCAAAAGTGAATTCTAGGTTAGGGGCTAGGTAAATGGTATGCTCACCTGAAGGTGCTGGGAGGAGGAGGAGGAGAGGGATGTGTGGGATGTGAAGTACCAGGACTACAGTGGAGGGGCACTGCCTGATGACAGGCTGCTTTGGCACGGAGGAGAGGCTAAGAGGTGCCATGAGATCCTACCTTGTAAGTCTTCAAGGAGAGAAGAAGGCCTGTGGGAAGGTCTGCCAACCCCCAGCAGAGGCTGCCCCAGGGGGCCCCCCTACCCAAGCTTCCTACCCCATTGCCTGTACTCAAGTACCCAGCAATGCATCAGGCAACATGCAGGCAGCTTGCACATGCCCCAGGCCTGTCTCTCCCCCGGCCCGGTTCCTGGCAGCCCAGCTTCCCATAATTGCCTTCTAAAAATATCCCTCCCTCCACCCCCACCTCTTGATTTCAAAATATTTAGTTTTCAGGGTATTTAAAATGAGAGCTGGCGGCTCTTCCAGGCCCAGATAACAAAGCTAAACATTTATGCTTCGACTGCATTTCTCTGAATCGGCTGAGATCTCGAGCTTGATATGGCAGCAGAAGGAGGGAGGGGAGTCAACTGCAAGATGGATCATGTGCTAGCCTTTGAAGACTGGGGGCCACCGGCCTACCCTGCCAACTCCCCAGGACAGTTCCCTTCCTTAAGGGGCCACTTACCGCTGTTGACATGTAGGCGAGCCCGGACAGTGTCCTTCCCCAGGACGTTCTCGGCCTCGCACACATACTCCCCAGCATCTTCTACCTTCACCTTGTTGAACTGTAGCCGTGAGTTCTTTCTGGTTGGGGAGGGCAAACAGGGGGAAAGGCATGAGCAAAGGTCGCATGGTCACCAGGCAGTCACTGCTCCATATAGAGCCAAATGGTTGTGCAGATTGGATGGCATGTCGACTCCCTCAGACCAGACTTCTCTGGGGTCCAAATGAAACACTGAATTCCTAGAGCTGGAGGGAGACCTGGGTCCTCAGGACAACACAGGTTGGAGCTAGTGGCTTCACGCATGTTCTAAATCTATGGATTTTTGCATTTATTTTCCTCGGGCTGGTCCTTCTTTGTAACATTTTTTCTGGGGAACGAAAGCCAGACCCCTTAGGAAGTCATCAACCATGTCCCTCATTCCCAGCTGCCTCAGCTGTCCTTAGAAGTGGCAGCTTGTCACTCTGGGTATGTGGGACTATTCTCAGTGCTATGTTATAAACGTGTCCCTCAAAGTTCACTGATCTCCGTGTTGGGTGGGAGGTAGGACCTAACTGAGATGTGTTTAGGTCATGAGGGTGTTATCATTGGGTAACACTGACTCCCCTTTCCTTTCTCCCTCTCTGTCTCTGTCTCTGTCTCTGTCTCTGTCTCCATCTCTCTCTGTCTCCCTCTCGCTTGCTCACTGTCTTACCATGTGATGCCTTGTGTCATGTTATGGAGCGTCAAGAAGGCCCTTACCAGATGCAGCCTCTTGATCTTGGACTTCCCAGTCTCTAGAATTGTGAGCCAACTACACTCCTTTCATTTATAAATTTCCCAGTCTATGCCCAGATCCCAGTCCAAACCTGTGGCTCTTCCTTGCCTTCAACTCAGTTCTGCCTCCATGGGACTTTTGTTTCATTCACTCAACAAATGCTTACTGAGAGCCTTCTAGGTGCCAGAAGCCAGTGCGTCATGGAACAAGAAGACCCTGGCTTGGTATTTAAGGCCAACATGAGTGCCCTCTTCTTCCACATGGGAAAACAATCCAGTCCTGGAGGGCTCCCAACTTGCCGTAGGACAACAGCAAGACAATGGCAGAGGTGGACGAGCAGCTGTGGTTAGGTGAGGGCACTGTTGTCTCTGAGCATCTGAAGCTAGGGCTACACCTAGCTTCATCCAGACCTTCCATGCTGAGAGCTGTGGGTCAGGCCTGTGCCCTTCAGTTCTGTCACTCCGGGGCACCTGTCCCTTTTTTTTCTGAAGTTTTGGCCAAACTTCTTCCTTCTCAGAGCTTCCCTGCACCTACTCCAGATGCCTATGCTCTCCAAGGGGCTGTTCATAGCTCCCAATCCCCTGTGCTCTCTGGGGGTCAGCAAGAGCCCCAGATGAAGCCCAGGATGCAGCCTGGCTCCATAGCATGGAAAGGTCTTCACACACTGTAACCTTCTCTTTTTAGTGATGCATTTAGAAACCAGATTCTCTAACTATGCATAGTGGTGGAAGGGGTAGTGAGGCATGGGGCGGGGGATGAGGCAGAACTGTCATTGCCCTGAGCCCCAGGAATGTAGGATGGCGCCATGGTGCTGTTGGGGTAAGGAACACAGGGCAGGTGAGTGGAGCATAGGGTTGCAAACTGGCACACAATTCTTACCCAGGGCTGTGCTTTGGGGACCTCTCTCTTGGACTTGGTCTCTGCCTCTGGAGGTGGGTTTCTGCCCAGACATCCTCACCCCAAGGTCTCCAAACAACGGTGCTGTAAAGTCATTTTGCCAACAGATCCTATGGCTGTGGCAATGTCCTCATTAATGTGGTGACAGCTGCTTGACTACACCCTACTCTTTCCAGCTCAAGCCAGTCTCTCTCCTTGGCCTGGTGCCTGCCCACAGCCCTCCTCTGTCAATTAAAGTTTGCTTCCTTCATTAAGCAGAGCCCTGGAGGCCCCTCTGATGAAGACAGCATCTCCTTCCCTGCTACAGGCTAATTGGATTCCTCAAAGCCTAACTTCTCTGGACAAAGTCCCTGTCACTTCCTTGCACATTGGATGAGCAAGGCAGGGGATTACCTGAGGGTCACAGGGTCCATGTAGAAGGGAGTAACAGCCTTCTTGTCACCCACAGTGTATTCAAAGGAGCAACCCTTACACTACATCATGGGCAGCAGGATAAAGTGGAGTAGTATCTGAAGCTGGAACTTGAAGGAAGGACTCCACATGAAACTTTCCAGACCTGGGTCTTCAAGAGAGCCCCTTTTCTTGGTGGAACAAGAGGCACCAGCTTTGCCAGGTACAGTTGTCTTGGTTCACCAGGGACTCACAGATTTCAGGGAGGTTGGCTTCAGAGATACAGAGGCTCTGGGTGGAGCCGAGGAGGGGCTCTCGGGTCCTGAAGTTGTTGGGACCATACGCTATGCTCACTGCTCACTTCAGCTGGAATCCAGAAGGGTTTGGGGCTCTCTCCTGCCTTTTTGGCAGACAGGATGCTGAGCTTCTGGTGCCCTGTTACTGTGGGAGCCAGCTCTGCCCCTCAGAAGGTCCTGGTCCCTGCTCTCCCCAGCTAATTCTCTGCTGGCAGCCATGGGATCTAGGCAGCTACACAGTTTCCTCAGCGTCTCCCTACCCTGTCTCCCTAGGGGCCTGTCCCGGCCTGCTCCTCATAAATAAGGGAACATGCGGTTCTGCAGGGAGGGCCTGCATCCAGGGCTTGGGGGGGTAGTTTTCTCCTGGCACGGGAAGGACTGGGTGAGACACCACAGAGTGGTGGGCATAGAGGCAGACAGTATCTGCCAATAGAGATGCCAAGGCCAAGTGCAGCCTGGCAAGCAGAATTTGAGGAGGGCTATGGAGACTGCTGCAGACAGAGAAAGGTTGGCCAGAAGGCAGACTCCTGCCTGGCCACGGCCCTGGTCCCTGTGCAAGGTGAGATTTATATAAGGGGAGGGTGGCAGCTCTCTTGGAGTCACTCATCATAGCCCACTTTTCTACCACTTTAACAACTCATGGCCAGGGCCCAAGGGCAGGACAGGTGGGCAGAGTCCTGACAAGTGGGCGCCAGGGCACAACTTTAGACTCAGGGGTCCACCATACCTAGAAGATCTGATCAGGTCCTGTGTCTGGACTGGGTCACCCATTTGTCAGGTGCAACTGAGACTCAACCAGGAAGTAACTTGTTCAGAAGGCTGGACAATGCAAAGGGCTTCTTGCCAGCTTAAGGCCACCTTGCACTTGGGGCTAGCCCTGCAAGATTCTTGTCAGTTCTACATGGAATGTGGATCTCCTCTGCCGGGCCTACAGAGGAGAAGGGAATGGACAGGGGAGGTGCTAGGCCTTATGTCTCTCATGTTAGGAGTGACAGATCCTCAACAATGCAATGAAGCCATGTCTAAGGTACAACTGGAGGAGATGCCTGGAGGGTTTGGCCAGGTGTTCATAAGGTAGGACATTTAAACCAGGCCTTGGAGCACTTTGCCAGGGACAAGAGGGACAAGCAGCCCCTTGTAGAGAGCAGCCTTGGCCCAAGTCTTTTTCATGAAAGAAAAGACCAAGGGTTGGACATGCAGCAGGACCAGGGAATAGAAGGGTAGTGATGTGTAGGCCAGGAAGAGAGTCAGAAGAGCCCCAAGGCTGTACCCAGCATGCAGCAGGCTTCCCAGACCTGTCAAGTAATGAGTGGATGATTGCATATAGTGTCCATGTTAGAAAGATCATCTGGGTGTGGCTCAAGTGGTAGAGCTTGTCTAGCATGGGTGATCCACAGCACCACAATAAATAAATAAATAAGCCAAGAGTAGTAGGGTATGCCTATAATCCAGCTACTTGGGAGGGGAGGTAGCAGGATCATGAGTTCTAGGCCAGCTTCGGTGAAGTTAGTGAGAACATATCTCAAAAACAAAAGGGCTAGAGGCATTGTTCAAGTGGTAGAACTCTTCAAGCACGAGGCCCCTGAGTTCAGTTCCCAGCACTGCCCTTCAAAAAAGAAAAAAAAAAAAAATCGCCCCCTATAGCCACTCATGGGAGTCAGTGAACTAGAGGTTTGTGGACCTCTAGAATTGTAAGCAAAACTGGGTGCAGGGGGTCCATTTTTTTTGAAGAAAGGGTCAAGGCTTTTAGAGATTCTGTCCTGGAAGCCAACTTAGAGACTTGTGAAGGTGGAAGCTACAGCAGCTGTGTTCACTGATATATCCTGGAACCCAAGCAGAGTGCCTGGCAAATAGCTGGTATTTATACATATGGCTTAGATGCAGTAATGCATTCGCGAAGGAGTCTTTGGCCCAGAAAGGTGGCCAAGAGTGGGATAGTGGAGGAAAAGAGGTTAGAGGCAGGGAAGCCTGGTAAGAAACTTGCAGAGCAGGGAGAAAGGTGCCTTTTGTGAGGTTGTAGCTTGAGGGATGGCAATGGGGAACGCATTGGGAGTAGGGAGGCTGGGTGAGCATAGCTGAGGGCAGCACAGGAGGAAGAGTCTGGGCTAGAGAGGCAGGGCTGAGAGGCTGGCTTGGGGCATTCTGTATCCAAAATGCATGTGGAGTCCCAAGGGTGGTGCCTGGGGTTCAGCAGGCATCATGGGTCTGGAACTCAGGTGAGAAAGTCACCAAGTCAGAAGATGAAGATTTGGGGAATCTCAGGTATTTAAAGGCACAGGAGAGGATGAAATCATTCACAGGTGGAGAGACAGGGCGGAGAGGAGTGAAGCCCAACCTGAGAGAAAGCTCAGCGTCAGTGATGTCTGAGGGAGCACCTCACTCACAGGAAGACCAAGGGCAGTCCAGGGGGGCAGAGAGAACTTCTGAGAGACCCAAGGCTGGGGAGCTCAAAGACCACAGCCATGGAGGGGTTGAGAACGTACTGAACTGGTGGATTCTGGCAGCGGGGTGTAGGTAGAAGATGAGGGAGCAACAGTGGAAACAGATTCTCTCAGCAACTATGCATAGTGGTGGAAGCAAGAAGGGAGTTGGGGGCAACAGCTGGAGGGGGACAAGGAGATAGCAGCCCAGAGGAAAGTATTTCAAAACAGAAGTGACAAGAGTGAGTTTGAAGGGAGGCTGAAGCTAGCAGAGAAAGGAAGGAGCTGTGGGTGTCAGGGCTCTGGTGGGGGTGTGTGCGACTGTATGTGTGTGAAACTGCTGTGGGGTAGGTGGGATGGTGATGGGTTGGGGTGGGGGATGTGCTTGGGCAAGCTTTTTACTATCTTTGTGGTCTCAGGGGAATAGAGGAGAGGCCATCTTTTGGACAGTGAGGATGGGAAGAAGACAGGGCTCTACCAGCCCCAGCTCCAAGAAGCCTGTCACTCTTCTTTCCAGCCTGGAGCCAGTCTTGGAAGGGCAGTGGGAAGGGATGGTGTGGCCTTAGGTGAGCTGGATGGGCAGCCTGAATTTCTTGCCAATACTGTAGACTGGGGACAGACAAGACCTGCCCACTCCTCACCAGCTACAACAATTTCCTGGGGAAATAGCCTTCTTGCAGCCACAAATCTTTCATTTAAACCAAACCCTTCTTAAATTATTTTCTGTCTCTTTCTGGGGTGACCGTTGTTTTTGCCTCCACTCTTGGACGAAGAGTCAGAGATAGAGAGAGTCAGAGCAGTTGCTTGACTTCACGCCCACTTTCACATGTTCCAGACACTAAGGCCCAGAGGCAGGGTGTGCACATTAGGCCACAGGGCAAACCATGGTTTGGGCTGAGTCTGGGCTTTCTTTCCATCACTTTCTTTTGTGGCCCAGGCTGGACATTCTCTAAAATCATCTTAATTTGCCTTTTGTGAGGGCGAGGAAAAAAATGACAGCCCAGGAGAGAGTGGTTGCAAGCTACTCCAGGAGTGGGGGCAGAAAAGGCTGGGTGCCCCTCAGTCAGAGAGGAACATCTACCTGGTCCTAGGGCAGGTGGAGCATCTGTAGCTGATAGAAAAAGTTAGGGGTGCTCTTGGACTCCTGAAGTCTCTGCCTGACCAACTCAAGATGGACATGAGGCCATTGTCCCCAGCCTGGAGACTCGGGGACCTGGCAGGTCACTCCCTTGGAGCACGGATTCAAGATTCAAGATGATTCTCATGCCCTGGGGAAAACTGTTCGAAGTATAGATCCCCTAACACTAATCAAACTTATGTTTCCTTTCCCCTTCCTGAGCTCTCTGACAAATGATAGCTCACTAAGTCGAGAGACTGGTGATTAGCTTGTGTGATCTTCCTCCCAAAGGCTTTCTGGAGGCTGGGTCTTTTGCCAAAAATTGCTAGATTTGGGGGCTTTCAGGCACTGTGCTAGGTTTTTTTAGAAGAAATTTTAGGGACAAGGAAGGACATCCATTAGTAAAGCTGACCTTGACAATCAATTGCCTCCAACCATCCAGAGTCTTGAGTTGCCTAATTCTTGTCCGTGGTCTGTAGTATGGGCCCACATAACCAGAGGGGCCCAGCAGCAAGGACAGGGTTGGGTGTGGCAATGGAGGGAAGTGTGGAGAGGGACTGGGCCTGGCTCCATGCTGGGTCTGGGGGCACAGCCCTGGACTCTGCCAACTCAGGACGTTCCTCCTCAGAAGGGAGGGCAGCTGGTGGGATGGAGGGCGGGATGATACGGCTCACCTGCCATTGCCATACTTGACGCGAATGTCGCGGCTGCGGTTGAGCTCCTTGCCATCCTTGAACCAACGGTAGGAGGGCTGGGGGTTCCCTGCTGCTGCCTCGCACTTCAAGGATTGCTTCTCACCCACCTGTCCCGTCTGGCTCTTCATCTTCTTCAGCTTGGGCCGGGTGGCTGTGGGGTACAAGGCAGGTGGGTGAGTGTGGTAATGGTAGGGATAACACCAAGCATGAGCAGTAAGGGCCCCTGTCCTGGGGCTGGAACTGGGGAGAGATGGGTGAGCCTGGACGCAACCCCATCTGGTGTCTTTTCATACTGCTTCTTAGGGAGTTTCCTTCACATCCACAATGGAGCTTTACATGAGCTTGTAAAGCCTTTACAATAACCCATGAGTTCACTGCTGTGTTTAAATCCACTTAGAGTTGAGGAAACTGAGGCTAGAAGGGTGAAGCTACTTCTCTAAGGGAAGGTGATGGAACTGGACTTTGAACTCAGCTGATTCATGATTTAATTCCTGTCCCAATCCCCCACGTCTCTGCTGGGCTCAGAGGACATAGGCAGAACAAGATGGTGGACTGAGCTGCCACCCCCAGAAAGCGCAGCCTAGCTGGGGAGTTGTGATCTGGCATTGAGATCACAGCCTAGCTCATGGAGGCCTGGGGGTGGTGAAGCCCAGAAAAGCCACCCTAGCCTGGGGGACAGGGGTCACTTAGCTAAGAGCTTAAAGGATGGGACTAGAAGGAAGGATGGGAAGGTGAGCCAGACAGAGGCAGTGCTTGGGAGAATTGCACGTGGTCCAGAGGGCTGGACTGACTAATGGGTGAAGCGGAGTGGATGGGTGATATAACAAGGCATGGACTGCACTGGTGAGCACAGGCCCAGCATGGACACAAAGCTGCAAGTGAAAAGTGGAGAAGCTTCCCTCATTTTTCTTAAGCACCATTCTGTTTCCACACACCCCTGGCTCCAATGTTCCACCTCCTTGCTCTTTTCCCCACCACCTAAAAAAAAGGTACTCTGTTCTCAGGAGGGCGAGGCAAGCCAGAGTACCCTGATGGAGTACATAATAATTGCCACGAGGAGAGTCCTTCACAGGACACACAATGCTTTCATTCACACTCCCATTTGCTCCCTGAGCTCTGTGAAGCAAGTATCACACTGACACTGATGGTGAAGATGAGACTCAGAGATTCAGAAACTTGACTGACGTCACATAGCCAGGAAGCTACAGAGTTGGGACCACAGCCCAGGTGTCTGGATGTGTAATGAGTCAGGCTGGTAGCAGCAGTCTGGTGTCTGCTTTCCAAGCCTCATCTCTCTTTGAGGACTGGAGACCCAGGTTCAAATCCTTCCAACAATAGAAGGGAGGGGCTGTTCAGCCATAGAGGCCCTGGGGACTAGATAAGCCCTGTCTAGGTCATCCAACCTTTCTTCAGTAGCTCAGAGCTCTGACAATGGACCAGAGGTGGTTCTGGAGAAAACAGATGAGGGCTAGAGACAGGGGTCCTGGTCTTGAATTTAGCCCTGAGTGCTGCTTGCAAGTAGAGAGTAGATGGGAGTGAGGTGCTGGATCTTATATAAAAATGTGTTACTACGTGCAAAATAACTTTGTGCAGTTTAGAAAATTACAAAATATAGATGGATAAAAAGTAAAGAAAATCTTACAATATTTCAGTACTCAGAAATAACTCACAGGTTATGCACATTTTCACCTTAATATAGCATTTCCCCAACTGAATTCTATAAGACACAAGCATCTCAAGAGATGAAAATTGGTATTAGTCTAGAATAGGGTTCCATGAGGAAATTGGTTTGGGAAATGTGTGGGTGAACAGTTAATGAAGTATCTTAACCAATTCTAGTATGAGTCTCAAAGTAACAGCTTTGAGACTTTTTTTTTTAGAATCCTTAGTAGCATTTCAGGAAAATAAATTATGAGGCATAACTAATATGTGTATGTATTTGTAGATGTATATGTTTAATATGTTTAATATTCATGTGAATTGAAGTTTAAGAAATGAAAAAGAATTAGCTTCTCTAACTTTTGAACACAGCCACTCAGTTGCCTTTCTGGGAGGCAACTAATTTTATCAGTTCCTTTACTATCCTTTCAGAAATCTTTTATGAATATACAAAAACCCCCTGGCATTTATGCACATATTTTTTCCACAGAATCATTTTTCATGCTTGCATAATATTCCTTTATGGGTGTAGTATAATTTACATAACTGATGGCCTTGGGGAGGCACTCAGCATACCCCCTTCCCCATCACAAACAACCCCTGAGGACCACTGTGATGTGGGCAGAGTAACTCCAGACTCAGACTGCCCATCTTCAAATCTGTTTTGCTACTTGTTAGCTTTCTGTCCTCAGGTCATTGACTTATTACGCGTTTCAGTTTGCTCATCTGTAAAATACAGGTGATAAATAAAAACTCCTACCTTGTGGGATGATGGATGTAAGGATTATGAGATAATGCTTGTAGAGCCTGGTAAGCAGAGAGCATTTAATAAAGGTTAGCTCTTATTATTATTACTATCCACAATTATTTCCTAAGGCGATCTTCCTAAAAGTGGAAACGCTATGTCAAAGGGTATGCAGTCTTCTTCAGCTTTGTACACTGCCAAATTGCCCTCTGGAAAGGCTGCACCAATTTACACTGCCCCCAGTGAATGACAGGACCTGTTTTTTCCACACTCTCACCATCAGTGAAGTATTATCATGTCTTTAATCTCTGCCAATTAGCTAGGCAAAAGATAACGTCTCTTTGTTGTTGTAATTTGCATTTATTTGATTACTGGTGAGGCTGAACATTTCTCATAAGTGTATTGGCCCATTGTATTTCTTTCTTCTTTTGGAACTGCCTGTTCATGTCTACAGTCTGTTTTTCTATCGAGTGCTCGCATTACTGATTTGTAAGAGCTGCTTATAAATATTAAGGCTATTAACCTTTTGCTAAAATGTTTTTTCCCAAGTTATCTGCTTCTCACATTTAAAAATACTGCTTCTCTCTCTCCCTCTCCCTTTTTCTCTCCCTCCCTCCCTCCCTCCCCCTCCTTCCTTTCCTTCCTTCCTTTTTCTTTTCTTCTCCCCACCTCTTTCTCTTTCCAGGTATTTTATGTGCATTATTCTACCGTTCTGTTGCACTTTCTGGAACTTCATTATTCTAAGTTGGTTGGAGTCCCATCCCAAGCATCCTTCCCTTCCCAGCGCCCTGCCCTCCACTCTGGGGTTCCAGTCATGCCTGTCACAGTTCTCAACCCTGGATACTCGTGGGAACCACAGGGGAGCTTTGGAAGTTGGGTAGAGGCCTGGGACCTAGCCTGGGCATTCTGAAGCAGAACTTTGAGAGTGGTCCAGGTGTGTGGGTTTCAGACTCCTCAGGTGACTTTCTCACCATCTGGGAAATGTAAACCACATGCAGGAAAGGCACATTCTATCCGTGTACACACATCTCAGTGACTGATTACAAAGGGAGCACATCTGCATGGCTGGCTTTGCTCTAAGGTTGGTTGATACCTGATGATCTAATCTCTTGGTTTAATGGTGGCCTCCAGCTAGTGACCTTCCCCTTCTTGGGAATTGAGGACACAGACAGCTCTTCTCAAGTTTGAAAGTGCTTTTTCCCCTCACTGGGGTGCATTGACCTTTCCTGCCTGCTGCCCCCACCACCATGGCCACCTCCATTCCAGTGAGCTGGGGGGTGATGGGAGACACACCTGGTTGGGTAAGGCAGTGTTTACTCTGCCACCTTGCTTCTGACAGGAGGCCTGGCCAAAGATGATGCACTGAGCTAGTAGCCACTGCTTCATGGGATGGTGGTGGGCTAGGGGTACACCACATAGAGATAGTCAGAGGAAGACTCTCATTCAGAGGTTCTGTGGAACTGGAAGCTCTAAAGTCATTCACTACTCCTGGAGAATAGAGGATCACATTTCAGATCACAGGAGCCCACTCCATCTAGTGGGAACCCAAGTAATGCAGCAGGCACTCCTTGATGGTCCACTCACTTCAGAGCAACCCCATCTAGTTCACTTGTTCCTTGTTCATTCATTTCATTCCTTTTCAATGAATGAATGAATGCATTCAACCTATTACATGCCAGGCACTGTTCTGGGAACTGAGATATAGTAGTGAGCAAGACAGATAAGTGACCTATTCTTAGGGTGCCTAGTTGACTTTCAGTGAGGGGCACAGATGATCAGCAAGTAACCAACATGAAAGTCAGCTGAAAAATGGCCCTAAGGTGGGAATGAGCTTGAGCCTAACAGAGGCCTACTGACTGGAAGAGAGTGGAAGATGGGGGTAGAACAAGATGAGCTTAGAGAGGCAGGCAGGCCTCAGGTGACAAGGGGCTGTCTTGAGCCAGGATGAGAACTCTGGATTTGCCTTGCATTTTTTGAACTATGTGCCTACTAGAAAATTTTAAATTACAAATGTGGATTAGATTATATTTCTAGTGGACAACACTGGTCTACAGGAAGACAAAATAAAGATAACCGCATATTTGAATCATGCCATGTTCTTTACAAAGAGTTTTCTCTTATAGCTCTTAAAGAGTCCTCATAAGAATCACCCGAAAGAAAGAATCACCTGACAAGCCTTGTAGGTTCGTTCGGAACGTTCAGCAGCTCAGGTGTTAGGAACGAGAAGAGGGCACACCATATGGCCCCTGGAACAATGCCCCAGGGACCTCTGCACAGTCATTCCTGGGCCCAGAGCCCTGCCAAGTATTCTGCGGCAAGATCTGGGGTATCTCCCCAAGATGGCCCTGAATTTGTTCTGTAGGTGTGGTGGGAAGGCATTAGAGGTCTACAAATGACCCAATCCTATGGTCTGTACTTTAAGTTCTTTCTTGACCTGAACCACCATTGCTACTCCCCTTGTGGCTTCCAGGCATTGGGTCTAGTAGTAGCCCCTGGGGACAGCTAGGACAAGGCTCAGAGGCTGTTCACTCAGCAGGCCTTGGGCACTGGGAAATAGATCTTATGGGGCCTCACACCGTCCCCAGCCAGCATCCTCTCTGAGCTAGGTCAGAATACCATGCTAACGTGTGGGCATGGAGACCAATGTATGGGATCCCAAGAGTATCTTGGGGCCAGAGCCAAACCAAGCAGAGGAACAGGCCTCCAGCATGGATGGGATCTGTCAGGGCAAGAGCCAAATCACAGTG